AGGTCAGTTAGCCCATCACGAAGAACACACATGGAATTCAGCACGATGGTTTCCAGGGGGACCACGTGGAGGTCGACCTGACAGTATATTCCCAGCAATGAGACTGGTAGTCCGTATTACTAACAATAAAGATGATATTTCAACATATGTTGTCTTGTTGTTTCTAGTATGATCGATAAAATTTTACCGATAGTTTAATTTGTACCACGTTATCGGAAAGAGGGGGGGTCAGGTTTCCATCACTAGTATCCAGGAGGAACCACGTGGAGACTAACTTGACAGGGTAAATTGCTAGCAGTAGAATAGTTAATCATGATTACTAACAGAATGATGTTTAGTCGTTTCATAGCCAGCTATGACAATAATGCAAATGGCATAATTAATGAGAAATTGTGTATTGTATTGTTTGACATAGCCTGAAGGATAAGTAAGCTGAAGTGGCAATGGGTTGGTCACATAGTTCGCTAACCGATGGGGAAAGAAGGTTCTCGAGTTGCAATTCCGTACGAGTAAACTGTAGTACAGTGCAGGACATCATCTTACTAGATGTAGTGACCACCTCAAATGCATTACCGGAAGTCAATGGATGCAGGTGGCTTAGGACCGTTCCTTATGGCAGTCTATGGAGTGGACGGATAACGACTGATATGGATGTGTATTGTATATGTTCTAAATTCATATTTTCGAGTGTGCATTTCGATTTTATATATTCATAACCATGTATAAACTTATTTTTTTAAATAAACGTAATAATACACTGAATGTATAGTATAATGAACTCGGGCCCAGTATGGAAGATGAAAGACACGTAGCAAACTGGGGCGGGCTTGCTACGCGTGTTTGTTATAGATAACACACCCTGTATAAGCTGTAAACGTGACCTTCATACAGACGAGGATATGAGGGTTGGCTTAACCTAAATTATTACACTATACGGGCTATTTTTCAAAAGGTTAAATGTATATTATGTATGTATGGATATAAATATAGAGCTGACCAAAGGAAAGGTGAATGGTCTGTGAAAATGTCTTATTAATTTTAAATTCTTAAGAATATGTTCGAAATTTAAATAACATTATGATTAAAAAAAGTGGCAACCCTTGTGGCCTTAAGAGCTACGTAATAAGGTGGAAAAGAGGGGTGTATATTTTTAGATTTTAACTGCTAGAACTTCCGACTATACGAATAATTTGATAGTGTACGTCATACGACCGGCTACCATTAATACTTAACGAGGACGGGCTTAAATAGTCCTCCGCGGACCAAAAAATACTAGGCGAAATATTTTTTCTTTTTTGTCAAAATTTTCTTTTAATATTCGCGAATGTAACTTTGATTTTTTCCTCGCCAGTTTTCGGTTTGAAGTTTGGGATATGGCATAAATTTACAGGGTACAGAGGAATAACACCTGAGTCTTCAGGAATGGCAACGCATGGGGGGTATCATGGGCGAAAGAGTATACTCTTTTATGTCCATGATACTGCTCATGTCTATAGGCGATCTAGAGGCGATACCACTTTCCATCAGGTGGGCCGTCAGCTTGTTTGCCATTCTAAGTTGTATAAAAAAAAATATGTGACGAAAAAGATGATAACATGTACTCAAAGATTAACTGTAAGAGATCCGTTTGTGATTTAAGTCCGCACTCATGAGTCCAGTGTAAAGTATGTACAATAAAGATTTATAACAATTCTCGGTGTACATTTTAGAGCGATCATTAAAACATCTAAATCTCTAAACATCTAATTGACCAGAGAAAGGCTTCCAATAAAACTCATCTGCATGGACACTTCTGTCCCACCCATGTTGCAGTAGTTGTGTTTGCATGACAGTATTTGGATTTGAAGAGACTATTTGTGATTTCATTGCCATTCATCAGGGTGCCGTGACGTAATACCGTAGTTGTAAGGAATGGCAACCATGATAGGTTTTTTTCATGGCTGAAAATGGTATGGTAAACCTGCCTGCGTGCGGTATGCTGGCGGGGCACCAGTAAGGGATGATAGGGGCATAGTAAGGATGAAGGCAGGTCAGTTGAAGAATTCAACAAGAATTAACCACGATGGTTTCCAGAGGGAACCGCATGTAGGTTGAGCTGATAGAGTATACCTATTGCTAGCAATGAGACCGTTATAACCCGTTCCTAACAACCATTTAACCGCATGAGACGTACCATGGGTATCACAGTGTATTCTGTCTGTGGCCTTGTTTATGTCTATTGGCCACAGTTACCACTTTTCATCGAGTGGTCCGTCAGCTTGTTTGTCAATTAGTGATTCTATGTGTCATATAAATAAACTCTAAATCTGAATGCTACGTACATGTACTCTACGGGTGGGTATACATGGCTTATACAAAAAAATTTTTACCGCGGACAAAATGACCTCCGTATACATAGAGAAAATGTTCCCCAAGGACTCTTCGTTATCAATGCTAGCTTTCAATATCAATCAGCGTCACTATTAGAGATATATAAAAGTGATATGAGATATAATGAAGTTTATTAATTATTTAAAATTTTCGGACTATTTTTGGTTCACTTAATTGCATGAATTTAATCAATTAAACGACCGGTTGATGTCCATCGTTTATTGTAATACTATCTTTATAATTTAATATTTTTTTAAATGCTCTTAAGGAGCAGATTCTCAATTCGTCTGTGTTTGTTTTTGTGTAATTATGTGATTTTTTAAATTTATTTTGTAATCCGTAGAGTTTACGACTGCGTTTGGTCCTATATCAATTAAAGTAAATACTTTTTTTTGCGGAGAAAAATCTACAATCGTTGCAAAATATATTGTTTAAAATAGTATCGTATCTTGCAAAATTATACTGTTTTTTTTTTCTTTTTCTTTATAATTCACATTGCATGACTGCTTTATTTTTTCATGTGTTATTTATTGGAAATGACATAAAAAGAAATTTTTGTTTAAGTACCGACGTTGTTTGAATTAAAATTTGAATATTCTACCAATTATAGCTCTAACTTTATATACATGTATTTTTTTTTAATATATGTTGGCATAGGTGTGCCTACATGATAAATATTTATTTAAAAAGAATGAGATCGACACAGATATTCATGTCCAGTCCAACCATATTAATTAAAAAATAATTAAATCGCTTCAGGTTTAGGAATGATATCTCATAACATAAACAAAAAATGTAATTGAATTACAAATATTATTAAAATATGATAATTATATTCCGATAATTATTCTGCAATAAAAAATATTTCGATGACAATTCTTGAATTTTTTTAAAATCGTACATTAATTAGAATAATATTATCATATTTTAGTAATGTTTTTTTTTTCATTTCCAAGTGTTTTATCATAAATTAATTTCTGATTCGGGAGTCGCTCTTTTTTTTATAAATCGGTTGAAAATAACAGGTATAGCATCCCAATTCGATTTCAAGAAGTTAATTAAACTTTTCATGAAATCAAATTGGGGGGATCAAATAATACGAAACAAAATAATTCGAAAAAATTACAAAAAACGTAACTTACGGTTGTAACAATGTGTATATTTGATTTTCAGAAAGTATCAGTTATGATAATTAATGGATTAACTTCAACTCTAAACACTTCACTCAATGCACTAACAGGAAAATCCAAAACGTCAACAGTTAGCTGCGTGATATAACAACACACATATATATTTATCAAATTATTTGTCCAACATATATAGCCAAAATTACTAAGTCTAGAAAGCTGAAATTTGGTATATAGGTTTATTTTGTAACGTTATTAACCGTCAAGAAAGAATTTTTGGTAATTTCAGTTTTAAAGGGCTACACGACACGCAGCAGGCAATATTCTAGCATAAAACTTTCTAAAATAAATAACAGTAATTTATAATAATTGTCATTGTGCAAACAACCTATTGTGTTACGAGCTAAGGTTTGAAGTGCTACTCTTGCACTTGTAAGGGTGTCTCGACCTTCAAGATAGGATCTCTCGCTGCCTATTTTAGTCGTGATGACGTTGTTCAAATCGCTACCAAGCCGATGTTATGTAGACACTTTACGTAAGCACAGTTGTAAGACTTCAAAGTTGTCGTAAAGGGCCCTACAACCCTTTGTCATTATAGAAACGAGTTTGTAATATTATATATACAACTGTTTGAAGTTTAGTAAACTTAGCAATGGAATTACTGGGGCAACAGTTCAAGCTCAAAATATATAAGTTTCAAAATAGCACATGAGACTCAGAAGGCCCATATCTCGGATTATAAATGACTCAAAGTGTTGGATCTCAAAATTATGTTAAGAATTTATACAGAACATTTTAGAAAGAAAGGTAAAAAGAAAGGGAAAAACCAAAAATAACAATATATGGGTCAGAAAAAGCTAGGTGTCCAAATAAAATGTTAAAATTATGGCTTGGGATGGGATAGGGAAGAAACATGATTTAGTTATCCAGATGAGGGAAGCTCTAAAATTACATAAAAAATGTTAGTAGGTACATTAAAAGAAAAGGAAACATATAGCTAAAATGTTTTACCAGAGGGAAACTGTCTGAAGTCATTTGCATGAGTATCTTAGTGTCCATTCATGTTTCTGCCACTAAGCAGCTGTTCTTATATAGGCTGTGTTTTGTTTAGAATGGTGAGATTTGACCGTGAAATTATAGGAGAACGAAAGACTTGTTGCGTACAAAAAGTTTATCATCTTTGTAGGTCTTCAAGTTTTTTTCTTTTATACCACAATGGTGGCAAGCAAGCATCAGCCGGTTTGATGGTAAACGGTCATTGTAGCCTATGGGTGCTTGCTACACTAGGGGTATCACGTGCGTGTTGCCGACCCTGTAGAAACTTTGATATACTCTTTTTGAAGAATCCCATACTATCTGTCTGTCTCTAAGGAAAACCTCGGCAGGGATCGTATTCTATAGCTTAAATGTTCGCAAAAGAAAATTCCTTTGAAACCGCACTGTACTGACCATTTAGGTTCAAGTGTGTGAAGATGAATTTAATGTTTGTTCTCTTGTTTACAGAGTGCTTCGGAGTCGTCGGCGGGCGCGGGCGGCGGCGGAGCGGCGGGTGGTAGCACGCGTGTCTCGTCGCGCTCGCGGACCTCGGAGGAGCCACATATTGGTACGTTATTTTTATATATTTGAATTGAAAATTTTGGAGTAAAAAACAAATGGATAGTTCATTTGATTGAAAGTGGTAATCGTTGTTTTGGCAGCACAAAATACTTTCTGATGCCCGCCGCTATTTTGTTTGTTGTTGCGTTGTTATTTCTTTTTTATAACCCACTCCCTAGGGGTCTATGTTTAGCGGTGGACAATTAGCGGCTGATATGATGATGATGATGATGATGATGATTGCTTTTCCACTAAAATGTTATGCTTTCTCACCCAGTTGTCTTAAAGTGTAGACCTTTAGACATGAACTGCATCACGAACATTATAATATACGCTTTACCGCAAGGTTCTTGTATCAACCGTTAATTGTCCACTGCTGAACATAAATCTCCCTCTATTGGAAGATTTTACCAGTAATTGCCACGCTTGGCAACGCGGATTTGGCAACCGCAGTTAAGGCTTGGAGATGTTTTAAGAGGAACGCTGCTGCCCATGCCTCGACCATAAAATCCTTTAATTGCTTTTTGCGACACCCACGGAAGGAAAGGCTGGCTTATTCTATGCCAAGACCTATATGGCTACCTTGCATACGTTTATCACATCGTACATGCTCATAATACGTTACTGCTCTCAAGGTTTAGCATGTTACTCTTATCACTTTTTAACAGAAATTATACTACTACCGTACCAGAGGGAGACTTTGTATAAAAGTCAATTGCTTGGGTACCTCTGTCTCATTCGTGTTTCAACTGTGAAGCAGCTGTGTTTGCATGGCTGTGTTTCGGTTTGAAGGGTGGGATATGGCGTGAATTTACTGGGTACAGAGGAATAACACCTGAGTCCTCAGGAATGGCAACGCATGGGGGTATCATGGGCGAAATGGTATATTCTGTTATGTCCATGGTACTGTTCATGTCTATAGGCGACGGTTACCACTTTCCATCAGTTGGGCCGTCAGCTTGTTTGCCATTCTAAGTTGTATAAAAAAACCATTAAACTTTAAATTGTAGTACTCCATACAGTATTATCATACCCTTATCTCGAGTTGACGTGTTATAATGCACATATAATATATAAGTTATATTTATTAGTGTTAGCAATTTGTTTACTCCAAAATATGTTACATTTCAGTTTATACTAGTACCGCATTTGAGCATTCTTACACGCCCCTTAGTTTGATTGAGAGAGAGGGAATGCTTTCAGCTTTAACTCCGCCTTGTACACGTATTTTGTACTAAATAACAAATATTAACAATTGAATAACATAATTTCAGCTGTTAACTGTCCACTATTGAACATAAGCCTTTCCCATAAGGGGAATTTTGCCAGTAGTTGCCACGCTTGGCAGGCGGGTTGGCAACCGCAGTTAGGCTTTTACATATGTTTTAAGAGAGACTCGAAAATATTACAGTAGAATATTTAGTAGATACAAAACTACAGTAAATAGAAAGTAAAGTTATGAAACTGTGCAATTTTTAGCAACGCTTCCGCACTTATTTGACAGACAATCTTTCGTTTAGACCAGTGTTTACTTGACATGATTTCTCTAAAATTGTACCGTCGTAACAGTAAGAATTGTGTTTAGTTAAAAATAATATTCATCGTGCATATGTGCTTGGGTTGAGTCATTTAAACTTGTAAGTTTGAAAGTTTGGTATTATTTCCGATCTGATCTCTCAAATGTCTGTTTGTATTTTATTGTATATTGAAAGAGAAAAATTTTACCGGATACAAAAATAAATGTTGCAAAAGATGTGTCTGTGATTACCACGTATAGAATAGAGGTCTTTGGCGTCGTGATTATTTTTGTGTACATGGATATAGTGTAAACATAGAGCGATAAAAAACAGTAAAAAAAAAAAAATGTTTATAAATAATGTGTAAATTCAAACTACAGCATATTTATTCAGTCCAAACTTTGAATGTTTGAGGAAAACTCTTTTATTTATACAGTATATATTCTATTTTTAATAAATGTATTGATAATGGCGTTTTTCCACATTTAATGAAATTTAGCAAATTAATCCCACTATTTAAATCAGGAGATAAATTTGAGCCAGGGAACTATAGACCTATATCTATTTTGCCAGTTCTAAGTAAGGTGTTTGAAAAGATAATGTTAAATCAAATGTTACATCACTTCAGGGTTAACGGACTGCTTCACAGTCAGCAATATGGTTTCACCGCCGGCAAGTCTACCACTGACGCAGGTGTTGCGCTAATGACACATATTTTCGAATCTTGGGAGAGGTCACAGGATGCACTCGGAGTTTTTTGTGACCTATCAAAGGCATTTGATTGTGTGGATCATAAAACGCTTTTGTACAAGCTCGAACATTATGGTATAAGAGATAATGATCTAAAATTAATGAGAACTTATTTAGAGGATAGGGTTCAAACTGTAGATATTGACGGTGTAAAATCTAAGGGAGCTAATATTAAGATGGGCGTTCCACAAGGGTCAATCTTAGGCCCCTTTCTCTTTTTAATCTACATAAATGACCTTCCCTTTATGGTAGAGAAAATTGCAGATATAGTGCTGTTTGCGGATGATACTTCGTTAGTGTTTAAAATTGGACGTCAAAGTAATCAATTAGACGATGTAAATTGTGCTATGTCTGCAATATTAAATTGGTTTACATGTAATAACCTATTATTAAATTCCAGCAAAACAAAGTGTATAAAATTTACACTTCCTAATGTAAGACTAATAAATACACAGTTATTGCTTAATGACGAAATAGTAAATTTTGTTAATGATACAGTTTTTTTAGGTATAACAGTGGACTCGAAATTACAATGGGGGCCCCATATTTCAAAATTGGCCAGTAGACTCAGTTCTGCTGCATATGCAATTAGAAGAATTAGGCAATTAACAGACGTGGCGACGGCTAAACTTGTATATTTTAGTTATTTCCATAGCATAATGTCTTATGGCATACTGCTGTGGGGTAAAGCAGCCGATATAAATACTATATTTGTTTTACAAAAGAGAGCCATACGTTCTATTTATGGTATGGGTTCAAGAGAGTCATTACGTCAGTGCTTTAAAGACTCAAATATCCTCACAGTTACTTCACAATACATTTATGAAAATATTATGTATACACGGAAGAACTTAGCGAGTTTTAAAAAACTCAAAGACTGTACAAGTAGAAACTTACGCAATATAAATAAGCTTATTTTACCTAAATGCCGTCTGCACAAAATCAGTAATTCATTCTATGGTAATTGCATAAGATTTTATAATAAACTGCCGGAATCTGCATTAAATCTGACAGAGAGGCAATTCAAATCTTATATTAAACAATTTTTATGTAAGAAAGCCTATTACAGGATAGACGAATTCATAGATGACAACATATCAAGTAAATAATTAGTTTATTAGCATACAACGTTATAATTTTTTTTTCTCATTGCTTTCTTGATTTAATTGATTAATTTTAGAAATATGAAAGCGTAGCGGTTTTTTGTATTAATTGCCGCATGCATTCTTATGTAAAATGTGAATACTATAACTATCAGATGGCAATTGTGAGTAGCTTTGACGTGGTCTAGTGTTTTGAGTAGTCATGCTCACTAAAATGTCCAGACTTGTGGCGGCGTGGTGGGCCGGGTCATTGGGCTCCCTAAAATATGGTCGAGCGCAGTGATGGCTGGCTCATCCGTCATACTCGTGAACGGGTGCTGCTTGTAGGGACTGGTCTGCTCTAATCACTATGACTGATTTCCTCTTATTAATTGTTTAACCAGTTGGTTATGTATTCAATTTTTTTTTCTTTTTGAGTATTTAATTGAATTAGTGCTAATTGGTGGTTTGTATTCACACAATTAAACTTAAAAATGTAAAATAATAATAAAATTATTTAAAAGAGCATCACGCAAGTTTCTTGCTCGTTCTTCTTGTGATGAGACAGCTTTCCGAACGAGCGGTAAATTAAAAAAAATGTAATGACTTTTCAAAAGTGCTTCAATGTAAGTTTATTTGAATAAATGATTTCTATTCTATTCTATTCTATTCTATTATCTCGCCTGACGTAACTTCAGAAACTTCATGAAGGTTTTTCTCTTTTTCCAGGAAAGTACAAGTTGCTTAAGACAATCGGCAAAGGAAACTTTGCGAAGGTGAAGCTAGCCAAACATGTTCCCACCGGCAAAGAGGTCGCTATTAAAATCATCGACAAAACCCAGCTGAACCCTGGATCGCTGCAGAAACTTTTTAGAGAGGTAAGATTTTGTTGATGTCAGTCTACATTCTCTGGCTATTTGGTTTTGTTACCTTTTCTATTTTGATCCTATAAAATCTAATAGCAAATTTGATTTCCTTGGCATTTAGAGAAAAGTCGAAAACAATAAATGGTGCTTGTACAATGCCAGCCTGTATATGCAGTTTTCAAAGATTTTCTTCATAGAGATCATTCTTATTTATTATTTTATTCAGTTTATGATTACCAAATTTAATTTAACGGTCTGATCGTCCTTACAGAATAGTAGTTTTAGTCTCAAAGTAAGTATGCAATAGTTTGAAGCCTAGGCATAAAAAGTGATTATGATAAATTTCATCATTTTTCATAATTTGAACGAATCTCTACCATTTTAAATGTTTTTGCAGTTTGCTCTAATTTGAATAAAGAATTTTTTTTTTGTCTGGGGAGTTTTTTGTTACTAGGAATAGTGAGTGACTGGGTTATTTCCATCACTTTGTTCACATCTTTAGTCTGATATACGGTAGAAATGACTATTGATCGAAGTATTGATAAATCATATAGCGTAAATAGTCGACGATATGACATTATGACTGGCCATTGTTTACTAAACGGCTACATAACAGCATTTCTTTAAATTGGGTTTAACCCACAACCCACTTCAAGGGTCTCATGGAGAATCATTATCAAAAATCATCAGATTCAGGGTGCGGTAATTGCGCCGCTCACTAGCCCTCGGAACAGTCTAGTTAGTTGTCTGAACTAATAGCACTCCTAGACAAAACAGTCTGAAGCAGGAGTACCCAGCCAGACTATAGTGTTAATAAATGGTCTCTTGATTTCAGGTCCGAATAATGAAAATGCTCGACCACCCGAACATCGTTAAGCTGTTCCAAGTGATCGAGACAGAGAAGACCCTCTACTTGGTGATGGAGTATGCGTCCGGGGGCGAGGTTAGTATCTACTGCGTTTGTGTTTTGTCTCAGTTTCAAGTTACACTGAACACCTAATGTAACTCCTTAGTTCCTCTTAAACACCTAGACACTTTAGGTAACTCTCTGTTGAGGTCAGTAAAAAATCTGCATGTATAATGCTAAATTGCAAAGTGTGATCTCTTATTGGCAATAAATCTTCGGTGTATTGAAGTTCCTCCAGTCATCAAGTTTGTGATGTCAAATCACATGGAAGTTTTTAAATACACTATCGGATCACGTGGTGTCTGTCGTGTCCATGTGGTGCAATCCACGTCGAAACGTCAGCAATACAGAAGCAGGTATGTAGGTACTTTTTACCTGCAAACATTCTTCATTGTGTTAAGTCCCGATAGTGTATTTAAAATATGCGTTAACAACGCGAAAGTTTAAAATTAAACTATATGGGAGTTGACCTGATAGCTCGCAATCAGTCTGTTACTAAAATTTCATCGCCATAAGTTTATGCAGATAGAAATGGCATCCCTATGAATTCAGTAATCCTGACTATTATGGCGTGATTTCGGTTCATAACCAACTTGCGTCCATTAAAGTGAGGGATTGCAAGCAGCAGAGGTCGCATTGAGACAATGCGAATCACTCTTTCGCATATCTGTTGCATCATGTCGTAAAATTATTTGTCAAATTGGAATTCTTCTACAGCTTTCCTATTTCATACGCGATTTTAAGGAAAGAAGGGTATATATTAGAACTATTACCGTATTCACAGAATAATATGTTTGCTACTGTATTCGTGGTGAAGCAGTTTGGGATGGCGTCATTTGTAATTTTTTTGTTTCATGCCTCTTTCTCTGAAGAGGTTCGTATGTATGTTTGTCTACCACTTGTACTTAATGCTAATTAGTAACTGCTACGTTCCAGGTGTTCGATTACCTGGTGCTCCATGGGCGCATGAAAGAGAAGGAGGCGCGGGCGAAGTTCAGACAAATCGTGTCCGCTGTACAGTACTGTCATCAGAAGCGGATTATACACAGGGATCTCAAGGTATCGTTTGTAGTCAAAGTTAAATTGTTTGTATTTCTTGTAACAACCAACTTCAAAAATGGAAGCGGTTGTCCATGACAGTCAGAATATATAATAATTTGCCAACAAATCTTAAAAAAATATTTCATGCAATTTAGAATGGCAAACAAGTTGACGGCCCACTTTATGGAAGGTGGTAACCGTCGTACCGTATCGTATCGTGGAAGGTACCATGGGCGAAACAGAGTATACTGTTTCCCCCATGGTACCTCCCACTCGTTGTCATTCCTGAGGACCCAAGTGTTATGGGTATCATGGGCGAAACAGTATACTCTGTTATGTCCATAGTGTTGCTCATGTCTATAGGCGACGGTTACCACTTCCCATCAGCTTGTTTGCCATTCTCAATTGCATAAAAAAATAAACGTTCACTATTTTTATCGAATTTCTTGCCGTTTCATTTTTGTTATAATGAATAATTTTATTGAAAGGACATGTCAAGTAAAGAGAAATATTTGTATTTGCAGGCGGAAAATTTGCTTCTGGACGGCGAGATGAACATAAAAATTGCGGACTTTGGATTCTCGAACGAGTTCACACCGGGCGCTAAGCTCGACACATTCTGCGGCAGTCCGCCGTACGCCGCACCGGAGCTATTCCAGGGTACGTGGATATTAATCTATTCAATAGTTTTTACCCACAGCTTTGTCCGCGTGACTGTATTCATTGGCCAAGTTAAAAGGTAGTCCATCGAACACTCGAAGATTGACTACTATGATTATTATCAGAAGTTATAGAACCTTCCATATTAGCCATCAATCTCCGAGCGCTATTCAGTCCACGCACGTTTTGCGACACGTGTTTCACCTCTTAAACGAGGCATCAGGAAAATTAATAGATTGGTGCTCGGAGCCTAGTTTTAACCAAACCGCGAATGACTCATTGTCGGGATGATAGTAATGAAAAATGTTGTGGCACGGTGCAGGGAAGAAATACGACGGGCCCGAGGTGGATGTTTGGTCGCTGGGAGTCATTTTGTACACATTGGTGAGCGGCTCGCTGCCCTTCGACGGGTCCACACTGCGGGAGCTGAGAGAACGCGTCCTGCGCGGCAAGTACAGGTATGATGCACGTATTGTGAAACTAAAAACATGGTCAATAGAAAATATTTTTTTCTCAACATGCTTGGAAATGTGAGCATTATTTTGACAATCCTATTCGAGATAAATCAAAATTTGAGTAATTTTTGTGTATTGTATAATGTGGTAAGTAATTGAAAATTAAATAAATATGTAAATTAATTATATAAAATAACCTACCTGTATGTAAATTCAATGGTTAATATTTCTTTTATAATCTTTTATAATATTATGTTATCTTGTAAACTTGATAAATGCGACATCTTATGTACAATGTTTCTGGCAAATAAATTTCATACAATTATTCATTCATATTTAAAATGTATATTATTTATATGATCAGTTCGGTTTCCAAGGAATTTTCTCCTACCAACGCTCAGGCTGTGGAATGAGAAGATTTTTCCTAGAGACTACAATATGGGGTTCTTAAAAAAGATATATTAAGGTTTCTTCAGGGTCAACACAGCGCGTGACATCCCTAGTGTTGCAGACGTCCATAGGCTACAGTGACCATTTACCAACAGACGGGCTGTATACTTGTTTATTACCTCCGTGGTATAAAAAAGAAAAAACGATATATTAGCTTTATTAGGCAAATTTTTGATACCTTGGCCTACGTTATTGTAAACGTAGGAATCTCATTGTTTTTAAATAATATGTAATCTATGTTCCTAGACGATAATGTAACATGGTTACAAGAATACTATGCAAAAGAACAAGAAGGATATTTGAAAAAAATCTTATATTGTTCCTTCATCTGTGTCCGCAGAATACCGTTCTACATGTCGACCGACTGTGAGAATCTGCTCAAGAAATTCCTCGTGCTGAACCCAGCCAAACGGGCGTCCCTCGAGAGTATCATGAGGGATAAATGGATGAACACAGGATACGAGGACGAGGAGTTAAGGCCCTATGTGGAGCCGCAACAGGATTTCAAAGATCACAAACGGATAGGTGAGTCGTCCATCCTCTTTAATGCATACATATTTGCCATGTATTATATACGAGAACAAGTAACCATCTAGTTTTGTGAAGTATAAAAAAAAAGTAATTTTATACTAGTGAGTTAAAATACTTAAATTGTCGTTAGGGAATATAATACTGGGATAAAAAATATTCAAATTTTTATCTAGGATATTTAACACTATATGTGTGCCAAATTTTATCCAAATCTGTTTAATCATCTGTGTACAAGAGACTATTTCTAAAAGCAAATGTTTACATTATTAATATTGGGAATAATGCTTATTTATTTAGGTTTCTTTTTCTCTATTTTCTTTTTTCTTATTTTTTATACATTCGTGACACAACTCGATTACAATGTTGTAACATATTAATTATTAGCCAAGCATGTAGAGAAATACATGACTAAATTAAAGGCTTTATTTGAAAATGAAACTTTTGAATTACAAATTTTTACTTAATATATATTAAAAACATAAGCAATATATTTTTTTATAAAATTAACAACATGTATGTATTGATTAATTTTATCAATGTATAGATGAAGAAAGTAAAAAAATTAAAAGAATATATACTTGTTTGTTAGATTTGTCAGTTTTTGATTTACAAATTCAATATATAATAATATGGCATCAACTTGTAACATTATTCGGTTGATCTAGTCCCATTTTTTTGATTAATAATTTCTTAAGAATTACGATAGTTGTTGGTTATTTATAATAATCATAAAAAATATATCGTTTACATTTACAATAACCGAATTGGTCTATAAATACGTAAATAATACTATTTAGTGACCAGTTTTATATTATTCTTTATACTATCTTATATTTTTATCTTATATCTTATATTTTAATCTCTTTTTATATCTAAAATATAGCTCTAATTTCTCATTAAATACAAAATTTAAAACTATTTTAACATAAATATGCAAAATAAATAAACTCTTTAATATAAATATAAGAGATGTGTAATTAATACAATGATGTTTTTTTTTTATTTAACATAAAAATTTCAATTTCTATTTTACTGTGAAATATATTTAAATGCCAGTGATTTTTAATATATATAATTTTATTTAAAAATTTAAATATCATGTATAACAAACATCGTTGTATTTGCATTGTATAAAATACTGTATAAATATAATATATCGTTCTTATATTCCATGCGCCGCACTCTTGTTAACGACACAGCGCAAGTTGGTACGTGACGCGTTATATATTTACTTATATATGTGTCTTAGAGGGGAAATGATCGTACGTTCTGTCTTGTTGTTTGTCTTTGTGAGAATAATAGGAAATATTAATATAATATTATTTTCTTATATTTTATTGTATAAAATAAATATAAAACAAGTCAGGTAGTGATTAGTACAATTAACTTTTTTTTCCGTTATTACAGTATAATTGTTAATATAATGTGGTACTTAAATTATAAAATATATAAATATAGAAGACGTATCTATGTTAAGTGTATGGGTGGTTTGATTTTATATATTTTTAAAACCATAAATGGGACTTCGATGAGACAGAATTGTGTTAATTAAAACTGTTATGTACTGTCACGTGATGTTTATATTTACATATATTTTTATTATTTTATTATAGTGCACGTTAATAGTGGATACATTGCTTTATATAAATATATATTTATATATATAAAAAGATGCTAAACCTATAAAATAAAAAAGGTGACCATACGATACCAGTAGTGACGTGAAGCATGTCAATGTATAGGTGTGGAATATAAAGTTATACTTAGTTTTTTTTTATTTACCATATTTAGTAAATAATTTTGGAAAGTCTTTATCGAAATATATAAATAACAATACATAAATATATTAGCTCGAATAAAAAAAAAATTGTAGATTAGAACAAATTTTTTTCTTCTTTAAACACTTTTGCATTGTCTTAGATTCGTAATAAACATTGTACTAATGAGCGATTAAATGAATAAATAGAAAATTTCGAAAAAGACATACCAAAATTGCATATATACTAAACATGATAAGTAAAAAATATAGATATTATGTTATAGGTATTATACATAAGTTATTAATTCCTATACATATATATATCTGTCACGCCTGTCTCCCATTAGGGTAGGCAGAAACAATGGAACGCCAAATGCTTCGATTCAAACAAACCTCTTTCGCTTCTTCCACATTCATCAATTAATTCCTATATGGTTGAATAACGACGAAACCCCATAGTAATACACTATTATCCTATTTAAAATCTGTGCTCTTTTGTATTCGATATGCGCATGGATATGGTTATATTGGATTATATTTTACTAGCTTTTACCCGCGACTTCGTCCAAGTAATGTGGATATTTTCACCGAAATAAAAAGTAGTCTATGCCCCTCCTTACCCGTTTCGTATAGTACTTACATATTTGATTTGAATGATCATGTCGTTTAGACGATAAGAGGTAACAAACAAACACATTTTCACGTTTATATACTAGCTTTTACCCGCGACTTCGTTCGCGTGATTGCGATCAAAAAGTAACCTATGTCCTTCCATATCCCATATAGTACGTATACATCAAATTTCATTGTTATTGGTTAAGCCGTTAAGGCGCGGTCCCTGAAGATCATAAGGTCTTAAGTCGTTTTGCAAACTTGAGAATTCTTAAATCAATATACATATATCTAGTAGCTAATGATGTAACTAACGGAAACTAACATCTTCAAGTTCGATTCTCGGTTTGGACAATTTGGAAAATGGTAAATTTTTAAATTGAATCGTATCCAGACTTTTTTTTTTTATAATGCAGAGTAGAATATGTTTTTTTTTTCTGATTGTGTTTGCTGTTGGCCGTGGATGGTCTTTACAGCCTCACCGAACGCGAGTAGAATATATTAAGGACTGGGCTATTTATGTGATTGTATGATATTTATTATTTATCTATGGTACAGTCAAATATTGATACTTAAAAAAATACTCAAATACTTAATGTGGACGAAATTTAACTAACCGGTTATTTTACATCGTCAAATATGCTACAAATAGGCCTTTGTTTATGATATATAATAAATTAAAAAAAAAGCATTTGTTCTTTGACATAATTACACCATACTTATTAAATTTATGGTGTCTTTATTGCGTGTTCTAATTCAGTTCTATGAACGCTATAAGAGATGAAAACATGTAAACTGCACCTCTATTTGCAAACTACAATTTTTTATCCGCGACTTTGTCCGCGTAACGGAGATGACACATGTCCTTCTCTATTTTAAACATTTATACCCCATTGCAAGTCCTTAATCCAGTGATTCTCAACCACTGTGCCGCGCAAATTTTAAAAGTGTGCCGCCAAATTTTGCAAATATTTAAAATTTTTGTCATAAACTATTTATGCAGTGTGTTGTAGTGAGTAAATAATTTTTATCTTTTTCTTTGTGCGCCGCCAAATTTTGAAATCGTTAAATATGTGCCGCAACAAAAAAAAAGGTTGAGAATCACTGCCTTTAATCCATCGGTTAACAAGCAAACGTGACTTTTATATTTATAATATTAGTAAACAATTTTACTTTTGCCAGCTGTTCCGATCCTATGTCAGTGATCTCAAAAAATCCAACAATTTACTTTGAAAATTATATAATTGAAATACTTGAACAAATACTGTACCTAATTTAATAAATTCTAGAACTGAAACGCCTCTGAATCCGTATCTGTAAAACTATGAAATACCCATAGCTTCTTTTAAAATATCGATTGTTAGAAGGTAAACCGGTTGACTGTTTTCTTCCAAATGATAATGAGACAAAGAAAGAAATATTTTTATTCACTTAAACTTGCATTTAACCATTTTTGAATAGTATTTTTTTTTCCATTACCGATAATAAAATGTTTCCGTGTTCTGTCGACAGAGGCGCTAGTGTGTCTGGGCTATAACCGGCAAGAGATCGAGTATTCGCTCGCCGAGGCGAAATACGACGATGTATTCGCCACGTATTTACTGCTCGGCAGGAAGAGTACCGATGTGAGTATTGATTTGTTTAGATTTACGACGAATTTAGTTCTCAAAGAAAATTCTAATCTTGTTTAATGACTGATTGTAGTTTTTTGTAATACTTATTTTAAAGGGTTTAGGGGCGGGGGGGACATGTTCACTCCAGACTTGTCTGGTATCCACTCATGTGAACCATGGATGTATATGAAGCCCAGCAAAGATATGTCTGAGATTACATACGCCTTATACACAGGGCCAGCAATGCTTATTTATAAATGGCTCTCGTTAAAATTTAGAAATTTTCAATATTAAAATGTTCACAATGTGCATAAGCCCCCTTAGGAGGTTTTGCTAGTATTTACCACGCCTGGCAGGCGAATTGGCAATCGCAGTCAGGCTCTAGAGATATTTCAAGAGGGACGTTACTGCCAATCCCTCGCCCTCCCTTAGTTGCCTCTTACGACACCTACGGGAAAGGAAGGGGTGGCGTGCTCTATGCCGGGCTAGACGGCCAGTTCACAGTGTACAATAAAACAAATGTGTATTGTTACTATTAGTGTAACAGGGACATCAAGCATATTGGCGTTGAAATAGAAATTATCAAAATCTGTGTAATATATATTAGTATAGAATACTGTAAATATGTTACAATTTGATATAGTTAGTGACGTGTCTTAAGTACGTGTAATGTATACGTGAGTGTGCGTGCGAGTGAGTGTAAGTACGTATTGGAGATTAACGCGTGCGCGGTGCCCGCAGCCCGAGTCGGACGGCAGCCGCTCGGGCTCGTCGCTGTCGCTGCGCACCGCCGTGCCCGCGCCCGCGCACCCGCACGCGCCGCCGCAGCACGCAGGTACCGCCGCGCGGACACGCGCACGCAACACACGCACCACGCGCACCACGCGCACCACGCGCACCACGCGCACCACGCGCACCACGCGCACACACGCACACGCACACACGCACACACACACGCGCACACACGCACGGACACGCACAGGCACACACACACACACAGGCACACACAGGTACATGCATGACACAAACAACTCTTCTCTCACACATACGCACAGGCACTCACACACATGTCAATATCAACACAGTTACATATCAACATGAAACATGTGAAACATCCACAATGTTAAATCTTAACATTTGGCCAAATATCTATGTCGTCTCTTTTACTTCTTCGTGATTGAACAGAGATGGCACTAATTGTGATTCTCTCAATTTCTATTTTGGCACATCCCAATTGATATTGTTCGTCTGACTGCCTGATACTCTTTAAAGTCATATGTAACATACTTTTTTACCATATTACGATGTTCTGAATGGTACTCCCGACTGTTTGTTGAGTTTTATTGCACTTGTGCCCTGACTTGAAGTTGCAATTTTTTATGCTCTGTGACCGAATTCTGATGATAACGTTTACAATTAGTGTACCAGATCATTGTAATCATATTAAGCTTTATATCAATGCAGTAAGGTTTATTATAGTCGTGCAAGTATCAGAATTCGGGCACTAGCTCTCTTATAAACGATTTCAGTCATATAACAAAATAAGAATAAAAAATATTTATAAAGGGATTCAATCGTACGTTTATACGAAATCAGTCATAATAGCATTTTCAGAATTTAAGTTACCAAGGTCATTGTTATACTTTTCAATTATACAAATTATCCAAATGCAGTTTTTGACAGGACCGTATTCAGGGATGGGGGTCTCATTCAAATTTATTACTATATTAAAATTACAAATATTAAAAAGTAATTTTAAATATACTGTACATAACATTCTAATACATTATATGCTTCAGTAAACGCTTAAAATACTAAAGCCCTCGTCCCGTCAATTTAATTACTGTAGAGTAATATTTACATGGAAATAACATGATTTTAGATTATTAATAGAAACAAACAAACTACAGTAATGATTTTGTGAACAGGATAATTTTACCAGTTCAAAATTCTAATGGAAATCCATATTTCCATATTTTGTCATATTTGGATATTCATGGGGGATCTTTTAATTTATACAAATTGCCGGGACACTGGCAATGAAGATTCTACCGTAATACATTCTTATTGCTATTATAATATCGGGTATGCTGGCTTTACAGCTTCTAACAGGGTTACATATCAGTGATCGGAAATTTGAACGTGATCTCGAATTAGATAATTAAAAAACAAAATTATACATTATCAGTAGTGAATTAAGGATTAAATTGTAATAAAGTTTTTCTTTTAATCTCCATACAATTTATAATTTAGTATGCCATTAATAAATCCGGTCACTGATTGATCATAGTCATAATACGATCATCATTATGTGATAATGTCGATTTTTCCATCTGTCTAGAAGTTATTTTGTTATATGCTTTGTATTTTACTATGTATTTGTGTGCTTGATTTATTGTATACCGATCACAGGGGATAGGCTTCGTGTAGATACGTGAAATAATTGATTTTTCTTTAACTACGACAAAAAGTAACGAAAGGTACTTATCATTGATTAAAAACTCGAAGTGTTCGAGTTTTTTTTTAAAGTAGGGGTTTCGTAAAGCTGAAGATAGCTTCCCCTCTAAAAAGATATATTTCGAATGCAGATGGTTCCTATATAAGGGTTTCCGCTCCTTCCACTGGGTGGGCATATAGCACCTAAAGAATATACATATAAAAATCGGCCCGGGACCACAAATAAAAAGGAAGGTAAAGAAGTCGTAGGCAACGGGAGCGACCGATGGTAGGGATAGTGGAAGGGCCGTGATGGTCGAGGAGAGGTGGGTGTGGGTGTGGGTGTGGGTGTGGATGCGGGTGTGGATGCGCAGTGGTGGTACAGAGTGTAGAGCGCGGGCGTGCCGCAGGCTGCGCGGGCTCGCCGTCGCACCGCGGCGTGCAGCGCAGCAGCTCCGCCAGCGCGCGCCCCGCCGCCTCGCGCCGCGCCTCCTCGGGCGCCGAGGGGCTGCGGACGCAAGGTACATCTGCATGCACGCACGCGCACAGACCTTCACCACTTATACGTATTTTCGCTAAATCGTTCTGGCTAAGCTTAACACTTTTTGTGCCGGCCGAAATACAGGTGTTTGTGCGAAAGAAACCGGCCGAATTTAACAGTTTTACAAGGGATAGGAGAAACGTCGGCAACAAAGAGTTCAAACAAATTTTTTTTTTTAATTACCTTCTAATGAAATTAGATCATTTGGAACGCATTACAAATTTATTTTGAGATAGAGTTCTCCCGCAATGCGAGTAGTAAACCGCTACAAGGCGCGAGCCGATATATCGGCTCTGGCACTTTTCGCAAGTGTAGCAGGAGCCGATATATTGGCTCCCGGCACTAAAAGGGTTAAGAATTTATTCGTATTCTAGCTAAATTTCATTTCAATGTTACGATTTGTTAGTGAAATACGATGTTACAAGTGATATATTTAAAAGACTGGCCCGAAAAGAGATTTAACTGTTAACAGGTAGCTTTTATAGCATCACTGTAAGTAGAATGGTTTGAGCACATTTTACGTGTATCCTTTGTCTATTTGCATCTATGTCTGTGTTCCCCCGTTTGTAGTCTTTATTTGAAATACTACACATTCGAGTCATGAGCAAAATTTAGACGTAAGTCAAATTTATTTCTGTTTTAATGTATATATGAAAAGAAATGGATGAAACAAATTGAAATATTTAATGGACATATATATATTATTTTCAAAAATAATATATAAATGTAAAAAAGTGTCTTAAAATTGTAAAAAAAATTGTATTTTATATATCTATCAAATACAATTTTATTTCACGTAAAATATTCTCTGCCAAGCATATTTTGGGGTCACAATGTATCTATGCCAATTTATTTACATGTATGTTTACATATATTAAGTTGGTGAATACGTATCGTTATGCTATAATTAAAGTTACTAACTGCATCAGTGTCATACCATCACAACATATATAATCATTGCTCTGGGGTACATAATAGCTTCATTAATTACATTTACTGAATCGATTTACTAATAATTAAACTGTTCTCTTAAGTTTCAGTTTTTTTATTTATTAAATAAATTTATAACGAAAGGGTACGTTTCAATTGTACTGTATTTTTTATAATTTTAATAAAGAATGTGTCATGTAAAAGTAATGTTACCTAGTGACAAGTATTATGTTACGTTCGCCATTATGGTAATAATCGATGCCTCTGATCACCTCATCAGATTTTACAGTCATGAGGATTTTTTTTAACTTTGTGAACTTTTGAGAACAGTTTAGAATTAAATGTTACAATAACTTAATTCATTGCTTTTGATATTCATTAGCCATAAGAATTTTATCATAGATAGATGATTAACAAATTCATCAAGTGAATTAATTTCATTCTTAAATTTGATAGCAGCATAATTGCGTAGTTTCATACATAGAGCATTGCCCGTATATTTTAATATTTAGTTAACTTAGAAGTGACTATTGGGCTTTATACGATATTATAAAAGTTATTTTTTAATCTCATTCCAATATCAAGTTGTACAAATTAATTTTAAATACAATAATTGCATGACCAATAGTTGTAACTGTCGTGCAAGAAATAACTGGTTGTATATATAAATGGAAGGTAGTGTAAGGAGAAAACTTATTTTTTTATACCGCAAAAACGTTTTGTTTTCGAAGAAATGTCTAGGAATAAAATATAAATAGTAGTAGGGGTCATCATGAAGACACTATGGTGACCCCCAATTCAGAGTCCGTCCCTGTATTTATACTGCAAACAGATTTTTATTATTCTATTTCAGTCTGTTATCAACAAGTACTCTATATAAATTTTAGATATATTTAGTACTTAATTGGAACAAGATAATATGAAATTTAATCATTGGGATTTTGGTTTTGGTATATAATATCTTTTCGGACTAACTCGAAACATTTATACATTTGTACAATATCACAATATTTTGCACAATATCAGGGACGCACTCAGCACAATCATTGCGAATATGGCCTCCACATTGCACGAGATATGTGCTTTGTACAGCATGGTTAAACATATAATGTGCATATAAAAACATTAAAAAATATTCAAGTAAAAAAAAAAAATAGAAATCAACACGAAATTATGTAATGATACATTAAAAATCTGTGATATTAAAAAATGAGACATGTCATAGGTTTATCTTTTTTTTTAATTTAATAGTGAAACATACAATACTTAAAACCTATGAGCTACATAATTAAGTATGTTTCTAATTTAGATTTTTGTCTAGTTTTGGATAACATTTCTATGTGCATTATATTTCTGACCGTACTGTAGGTGACCCCCCATTGTGCGATTATGACACCCACAATGCACGCGCTGTATACGTAACGTGCGTAACTAATATTGCGTTACGTGTTGTGTTGCGTGTTGTGATACGAGTCTTGTGTTGCAGTTGGTACCACGACTTCCGCAGCCAACAACACAACAGCGACGTCGACTACCACCACGTCCAATTTTAAAAGACAGGTTCGTTTGTTTGTTTGTTTATTTATATATAATTTTAATTGCACACAAAATTGTTAATGTCTACAATGTAATTGTACTCTGCATGTTATGTTTTTTTTTTTTTTTATGACAATGGAGTAGTAACCCCGCCTGCACTAACGGTATAATATGCTGGCGGGGTTCCAGTGATTTGTTTTTTTTATGCTACTTAGAATGGCAAACAAGCTTTCGGCCCACCTGATGGAAAGTGGTAACCGTCGCCTATAGACATGAGCAGTACCATGGACATAACAGTATACTGTTTCGCCCATAATACCCCACATGCGTTGCCATTAATTCAGGTGTTATTCCTCTGTACCATGTAAATTCACGACATATCCTACCCTTCAAACCGAAACACAGCCATGCGAACAATTGCTTCATGATAGAAACACGAATGGGACAGTGGTGCCCAAGCAAACGCCTTTTGTACATAGTGTCCTCTGGTAAACTACTTTGGAATTTTTTTTGGTACTTTGTAAACTTATCTAGTTGTCGTACGTTTATTAGGTGACAAAAATATATAAATCGCCAATCTAATAGTAAAAAGGTTTTTTAAATAGCGTGACACTTCATTTAACCAGTAATTTGCAATAATATTTTCAGAACACAATCGACTCTGCGTCTATCAAAGAGAATACGGCGCGAATAGCTCAGATGCAGGTATGTACCTATTTCCTTTTTATTTAATTTTATTTGGTGATTACTGATCAGAGAGCCTATCATGAAATGTTTTCTGGAATTTCGTAACCGAACGAAGCAAAAATTTTTGGTAAGATTACATAATACATATCGTTTAAGAATATTAAAAATGTTCAAATATTGGTCCTTTGGATTTTTATAGTAGGATTTGTGACGAATGAAATGTTAAGCTTTTTTTACTGGGCCGGTTTCGGTTTGAACGAAAATACGAAATCGAGTCCGAAATTTTAGAATTTTATTTCATGGTAGACTCCCAGAAATCTTCAAACATAACCAATATAGATTAATAGTAACTTTTTTAATTTCTCCTAAAGTAGATTTAAGATAAGGAAAAACTTTGTTTTGTTTTTGCCCCTCTTCATCTCGTTAATTCAATTGTTCTCCTGAATGCTTCTAACGTCGATAGGGGTTTAAAGTTGGAAACGATTTAGTACTTAATAAAGTAATAAGTAATCGTTTCAGCTCTGCGTTATTACTATATCATTTTATAACATTTTAAGGATTCTCTTGTCAGTGTTCTATTGCCACGCAAAATTGTACGAAAAAGTTGAATTGTTTTTTATCGAAGCATTTCTATGGAGACATTCGTATCTATAGAAATACTTTTAAATAGAGAATAGAAGAGGCAAAATGCTGGGCCATCTTATACGGCATGACGATTTTTTAAAGAGCATAGTAGAAGGAAAAATAGAGGGCGAAAAGAGGAAGACCGAGGGATAACTACATGGGACAGATAAAAGAATAGGTATCATGTCATATAGAGAGGTCAAGGATAAGGCCTGGGATAGAGCTGGCTGCAAGAAGATGTATGAATTAGTTGCACCGAGGCGAGAGGAAACTGTTAAATGCAAAGAAGAGCCGTACGTATATAATGTAAGAGTAAGAGTGACCGGTGGCCGATGTTGGGTGGTGCAGGTGCAAGGCGGGCAGGCGCGGCCGACGAGCGCGCAGCCGAAGCTGGAGCCGCGCGCGCGCACGCTGGCGGGCGCGCGCCCCGCGCAGCCCGCGCCGCCCGCCGCGCCGCCCAAGCTCTCGCCGCCGCACGACGCGCCCAGGTACGTGACCTCCGCACACCTACACACTACACTAGTGCCCCGCACAACTACGCTCTAATGACCTACACAACTCCGCTCTAGTGCCCTGCACAACTCCGCTCTAATGCCCTACACAACTCCGCTCTAATACCGTACCTAACTCCGCTCTAATGCCCTACACAACTCCGCTCTAATACCGTACCTAACTCCGCTCTAATGCCCTACCCAACTCCGCTCTAGTTTCTCGCCTTACTCCGCTGTAGTTCCCTGCCTAACTCCGCTTTAGTTTCTCGCCCAACTCCGCTCTAATTTCCTATACAACTCCCCTCTAATTCCCTGCCTAACTCCGCTCTAGTGCTCTGCACAACTCCCCTCTAGTTTCCTGCCCTACTCCGCTCTAATGGTATTCTCAACTCCACTCTAGTGCCCTGCTCATATCTGTTCTATTCCCCTCCGCAACTTCATTCTAGCACCCTGCCCAACTTTCCTCTGATGCCCTGCCCAACTCCTCTCTAATGCCCTGTTCAAATCCGCTCTAATGCCCTGCCCACCTCTGCCCTAGTATCACACCCATTTCCATTTCGTATCTTCACTCACCTTCGCTCTAGTACCTCTGCTCGCTTACGTTCCTGCATCAGTTCGAAGTAGGTCCTGCGCATACGTACCATGTTTTCTGAAAATAGCCCATCCAGTGCCCTGCTCTATCCATAAACACTTTGTCGAATAAAAACACTACAATACAATACACATGCACTGATTCTCATCTCAAGGTAGGTATATCATTACGCGACAAAATAATAATATAAGCTCTCAGGTATGTATAACATTGATATATACAAATATATAAATACCCTGATTATTTATTATCTATGAAAATCAGATTTACGGTTGTATATCAGTGACTCGAACTGTACACAACACACAGCACGTTTCAAATGATTTGATTGTTTTTCAACAAAATGCCATTAAATCCCTTAAATATTGTTTAAGGTTAATTTATTATTTAATATTACATTACTTTTTTATTAATATATTAATATTCTTAGTATATATAATTTCCAATTAACCTAGTGTATAGTGGAACCGGTATCGGTACCGGTTTCTTAACCGGTAAACAGCATGTACCGGTAAATCAGTAAAACTAACAGCATGCAATGATTACACGCTACCGGAACAGCACGGTGCAAGCGGACAGTAAGAACGGAACGGCGGCTAGCAACGGTAACTCGGGGACGGCTAAGACGCACGTGAAAAGTGCGTCGATCTCGTCCGCGACCGGCGCCCCGCCCCTAGGCGGGGACAGCGGGCCCCACAATGCCTCCGCGCGGGACCTAGCGCAGCCCCGGCCGAGGTACCGACGGTGTTTCGCTTTGCCCGTCCATATCTCGCCGGTTTAGAATGGTATCTAGTTCTGTGTCCCATTGGTGCCATTTTAGTATGTAAATAAAGGACCATGGACCGATGTATTCAAATGGAAATAATTGTATTCCTTATTCATATTATATTATTTTATCTTTTAATAATTTGACATATTTGGCGTGATATATATATATATATATATATATATATATATATATATATATATATAATACATTGAATAAGAGAATAAACATATTTGACGAAAATTATAAAACTTAAATAAAAAAATAAAATTAACTACTTTCTGTCAAAATAAAGTATTTATATGTATTAAAATAAAATAAAGAAAGAAAGAAGAAGCGATCATACTTAAATGATTTATTTCTTCAAACTATTTGACGGAAGGAAACATTATAAAAAAAAAAAAAAAAACTAATTTTTATGTAATATTTTGGAATGGAACAGAACTAAATATTGGTGAAAATCGGTCCTAATCGAATATGGACGAGGTTATAAAGCTATGGCTTGTTGCTGGCAAACGATTAGCAACGGTATGGGCTGCCGAACTCTGCACGCTGTTTATTTATTTTCGCTTGCCACTTTATCGGTACAATACCGGTTTTGTAGCGGTATCACCGGTGAAGTTTGTAGCACTCGCACTAAAACGGTGGAGCTTATTTCGTTTGGTTTTTTTTTTTCTAATTAGGTGAAATCTTCGTAGCTGTACCTTAAGAAGTAAAAATAAAAATAAAAAAAAAAAAATCTATTATACTCTTTTTTATTTGTAGTTTTAGTTTACGGAGTTGTTCTTTTAGAATATGTACACACGATTTCGAAATTTCTGTACTCTAACACTTGTTGTTTTTTTTTTTTTTGGTTGGAATTTTTAATTTAATCGAAAACACTGTATATACTATATTTCGCACTTTTGCTTCGCTGTAGATGAATTTTATTCGCTTTGCGGAAGGAATTGGTTGATTGTATTAGTCAAATACCAAATAATTTAAAAGTAACTCGTCAAATTCGTGCGCGGCATTTCCTAGAGGGTACGCGCGGGTGAGAGGGGGGCGAGGTGCCATTGTAGGACACGGATAGTATAACGGGGATGGTCTGTCGCCGATCAGAGGTGTGCCGTGCTCAAAGTTGTCGAGTTATGTAGGTTTTTTATTTAAATAGTATCACTTAGTCTTTTCTTAGTAACAAAAGAAGTAATGTATGGTAGTAAAATCATATACGAGTGTATTTTTGTAGTTTAATCGTGTATTTGTATTATAAATGGATTTCTTATATGTACGATATATTTTTATATAACTTTAGCCTTACAATACTAATTCTAAATTTATTATCAAAAAAATCACCTACATATCTATCTATGAGAGTTTTAACTCTATTACATATAGTATAATAGCTCGTATCTCAAATGTTATGTTTATTACATATGTTACTTTGGTGTATTCCCACAGTCTTCAAATGCCTCTGATTATCTCATCTGAGGTTATAGTCGTGATCATATTTTAAATTTTGTCTTGTCACATAGGTATACAAGATTACTACATATGCGATAACGGGGCCCTCTGTTATCAAGAGTTTCTAAGTCTTTATTATGTACAAAAATATCTGATGTGTTTCACCGGTCGAGGGTTGGTGTATTTCGAAGCACAAACCAAGTGACAGTGATATCTGCTGTTATCCTTTAATACAGTAATAGTAAATAATTATAATCTTTTTTATTAAAGTAGGAATCCATCATAATGCCATGTTGGTTTATATGTAGTTAACATACTGCGCAAATTTCAGTTTAAACTCCACGGGCGGCACTACAGCGGCGGCGAGTGGTGCTCGTCGCGACTTCCCCAACCCGATGGTGTTCCCCAGGAATGTGCCATCCCGGTCCACCTTCCACTCAGGTAATTATACTAAACTAAGCACACTAAACACTACGTTAGTAATGCGGACTACCAGTTGCTCCCACTACTAGTAATATAGGACCCTGTCAGGTCCACCTCCACGTGGTCTGGAAACCATCGTGCTAAATTCCAGGTGTATTCATCATGATGGTAGTCATCCCCACCTATCCCTCACTGGTGCCTCAACCAGCATATACTGTTAGTGCAGGCGGTGATACCATTCCATTATCATCCATTAAAAAAAAACACTATTTCATTAATCAAGGAAGCGTTTTATTTATTTGATTGGTCGGATCAATTTAGGAAACGATTATTTTTTAATTAGCTTATTTCTAGATGGTTGATTTCTGGATATATTTCTTGGTTAAATCTGAACACAGGGTATTGTAGTCAACGACTAGACAATTGGTATAAGTGTGGGGTGGTATTTTTATTATAATATAATACATAGTATTTGCCATGTGATTCCGGCATAGAATGGACCACACTGTCCTTTCTCGTGAGTGTCGTAAGAGGCGATTAAGGGAACTCAATGGTCGAGGAATGGGCAGCAGCACCCCACTTAAAATATGTTACCAACATTTTGAAATAGGTTACCAACTCTCCTGCCAAGCATGGCAACTACTAGCAAAACCCCCCAAGAGCCTATGATACCATCGTCATCAATCAATAGTAATAGGTAATTTATACTAAACACTAATACTGTATGTGGGATTAATATTATCCTCTATATAATGTTGTAAAACATTTGATGTACTTTGCACGCTTAAATAACTTGCCTTTATAATAATAAAAAAAAACTGCTTTTGAAATGAATGCACACTTTTATTGAAGGACGCCATGACACTTGCTTAATTACACTTTCCAATGTTGCCAACCTTAGGAACAATAATATACTACACTCTATACCAAATATTTTTTTTTATTGGGATGAAAATAGTGTTGTTACCCCGCCTGTGCTATCAGTTCACGCTGGCAAGGCATTAATGAGGAATAATAGGCAAGGATGGAGTCCAGACGGTTTGTACATTGTGAAGAATTGACCAGGAGTTAATCACGACGGTTTTCATGTGGGGTACAACTTGGTAGGAAATATTGCCAAGAATCGAAACTACCTGTCCCTTTTCGTAACAATTCTCTTGTATCTAGTATGGTATGGTATCCACCTATGGGAAGGGTCCTGTGGTCAGTAATATTACACTAATATTTTTTCGATGATGAATTCATAAAAAAATTTACAGGTCAAACGCGGACGCGAGGCGCAAGCGCGGGCGGAGCGTACGGTGATGGTGGCTCCCCCCACCAGGCACGGCCTTCGTTCTTCTCCAAATTGTCGTCCAGGTTCTCCAAACGGTAAGTTCTTCACCACACCACCACTTCATTACACTTTTCAGAAGAAACGTTCTTATTGTGTATCGTGTGTAACATTGTATTATATTTATTGTAACATTGTGTTATATTGATTGTAACATTGCACTCGATGGTTTTGTAATTAAATATTTTATTTCGTAATTAACAAGACATGTTTAAAAGTATACTAGAAAAACGGTTACTTTGAATTTATTCTATATAGCTCGTTATTATTTATTCATATGGCAATATTTCGTCCTATAACAAAACGTTCACCACAATTGCCTTGTGAGCAATCGGAAGTAAATGTCTATACATATAAGTATAGCAAGCAGTTCCTAGTCCTAAACATTTGGGCGAAATAACACAAAAATATATCAATTTGAAAATAATTATCGCGAATATATTGCACTTAATTAATTCTTTGGTATTTAATTTGTAACTTTTCTTTATATCAAATTAATGCAATATTTATATTTATTGTAATGTTACAACAAAAATGTATAAACGAAATGTTACAATGTTACACAATGATACACACGTAACATTTATAATCATTCGTGACTAACCCGTACATCAAGTTAATTTTAACTTTGTATTATATCAATTTTAACATCTATTCATCTGATTTAACAAATATAAATTAATTATATCATTCTTTATATTTTCGTTGGATCCCATGAGCTGCAACGCTTCCCGCTGTTACTACTAGTAGCAAATTAATAATTTCAAAAGGCTTCTTGTGTAAAAAATAATTGTAATATAAAATTTGGTTTTGTAATATTTAGTAATTCAAAATTAGAACTTTTTTTTTTATAAATCGAATGTCACAAAAGGCCGTTTGTTACATATTTAATTAAGATTACATAGTTTATCATACTATTGCTATGCATCGATGTTAGCAGTTCACAGCTTGCCATGCACTTCTATGTCTCATATCCCACTGTTATTACACAATAAACTCTAAGTATAAACAATTCAATGGCAATTTAGTATTAGTGCCACAATGTCTGTCTCTAATGATTTTGTTACAATTGTCTAAAAAGGGTTGTGGAAAAGACTCGTTGAATATATTTCTTTATATATTTTATGAACAGTAATAAAGCTCCTGTTGACTTTGATTTTAATATATATATATATATATATATATTTTTAGGAAAAATAATATTTTTCATAACAAGAGTATCATTATAATATTTTTTATCTATTTCATACGTTTAAAAGAATAAAATATTCAAAAATAGAATATAATGGACTGTTTTGTAATTTATCGTCACACGACACGATATTTTCAACTCGTTATAATGCAGTAGGAAGACAAAATGTATGTAAATTGTATTGAGACACTTTTAAATTTGTATGCACGTCCACGAAAGTGTTACAAAAAAATAATAGTGTCTCCGTACAATTGCATATATTTAATTTTCCTATTGCATCATAACTGTGAAATCGTACGATGTCGTGTCGTGCTACGGTAAATATAAAGCAATTTTTTTTTTTTTTTTTTTATAATAAGCTATACTTTATGAGGTCAAAAGGAGCTTGTGTTTTGTACACGATCTGGACCTCTTTATGTAAATAATATCAACACCATCCGTAACACACTGTTTCTAACTTATTACTTGATTAACCCATTCGTTCTGTCTCTCGTCTTATTGATTTCATTACTCTATATGTGTTTATTTTCACTATATCGAATGATGCTAAAATTGTCTCCCTCGAAAGACTTCCGAGCTCCGTTTGTTTTTTTTTTCTTTTTTATTCTCGCGTCAATACAGGGGATGCACGATGCTAATACCTCCCTATGCTCCTACTCAGTAGACGTACACGTTCGCACACATAGTTTTTTTTTTTTTATTTATACAAGTTGCTAGCTGCCGCGCGTTCTAAATACAAATCGATCGATGCCACAAAAGATCGGTAAATGACCGTTATATATCGCTGCGCACCAATTTTGCGGTATGAGCCGTTTTTAATTTGAATTCCTGATGACACTGTCCGGAAACAACCTCGACCGTCTCAGTAGACAAGCATGATGTATTCCCCTACCTGTGCGTATGAAAGTGCTATTTTTTATTTCGCTAAATGACAATATGTGCTATGGCAATACTTTTACGCTTTGAGTGTTGTCTGTAGTGCTTTATTAACGATCACAAATGTAAGTATTTACCGGTTTTTCTTTTGTTTGCCTCGTCGACCGGAGAGGTGTACGGATTTATAACTTCACCATCTCTCGTGCATCCCCCGTGTTATACGATACCATTTTATTTGTACAACTTTCTCCTCTAACCGTACGCTTCTACTAATGAACGTCGACGGTCGCGACCTCTACAGTTCGTGTTTAGTACTAATTTCGCTGTATAGTCTATCCACAACCCTTTAAGTGATGTTAACAACGTGACGGTATAAAAACGGAGGGAGTTAGTGTAGTATTGTGCATCTGTGTTGCGGCGCGAGAAAACGTTTAGGGTTGCCGTATTTATGTATCAATATTTTTTTTAGCCTATAAATGCTTAATTTTCTATTATGAGGGTATTATTTTAAAATGGAGTTACGGTAGGTGTGTATAAAGGGATAATAGAACAAATTTATAAAACATGTGAATATATCTAATTTAAAGAGATCGTAAACGTATGGCAACCCTACTACCGAGTGAATTCAGTCAAGATAATAAGAGCCGGAGAGAGAAGAGGGCGGCGATTCGGCTCATATACAGTCGTCTCGCTCACCCGTTCCGTTGTACGCAGGTTGAATCAGAATCAGTGAGCAGCGCCGTCCGACATGTCGCCGCCGAAGTCTTTTTAGTGTAAACGGAATGACGCATGGTATTCTCTGTTCATTTACATACATCACAGATTAATAATAAAAAGAAAAAAAAAACCTCTTTTGTGCCAGTAACAAGTCCAAATGCACTTTGTAATTAATTATAGACACGACATGTCTACAATTAACGTTACAAAGAATATATCAAAATTCTTCCATAGGAATTGTAATGTCTCTGTATGTAAATATTAACATGCAGTATTAGTATTGAATATTTATTTAATATATTATATACTCGTGGACAAGTATATAATTAATTCTAAATGAACAGAAAGTGTGATACGTCTGTGCAAGTATTGATGTTGTGTAACTTTTTTAAAGAGGTACAGTGATGTATACATTCATCAGATAAATGGGCACTTCTTAAAAAAGCTACATAATGTATACTGACTAGTTTAGATATGTTATTGTAAGTGTTATAAGTTTCATTTGGTGTATAATTATTAGAGGCAAGTCCATCTTTACTAACATTTGGCTGAAGTATCATCTTGTACTGAAAACGTAATTAAAATGACGCGACGACAAATCTGTTTACATGTTATTTTATTGAAATATAAATATAGAGTACAAATAATATCTATTTTTTTTTTCTATAATGTTACATTAAATATATATTTTATCGTATCGTATCGTATCGTATTACGATAATTTATAATAGTGTCCAATTAACACCCCCCCCCCCCCCTTACCATGGTATCCCAAACTCGACTTTTAATATGGGTACAAAACAACTGATACATTTTTGTTTTTTTTTTTTTATTAATATATACATATAAAACAATATATCTATAAATATACAATTCAAGGAACACTGAAAGATACTCTTCAATTATAATTGTATTACACATAAAATACATACATGCACAATGCTCATACATGTATATACATACTTTGAATACTGTCCTATATCTGTCTATTTAATTACTATAAATAAATAGACAATAAATTCTCCTTTTTAAAAGGCCGGCAGCACACCTGCAATACCGTAGGTGTTGTGGGTGATCATGGGCGACGGTAGTCACTTACCATCAGGTGAGCCGCTTGCTCGTTTGCCCCCTGTGTTGTAAAAAAAAAGATTAAAAAATCCTACATTATTAGCCACAGGGTTGAAAAAGTACATTCTGCAACACAAGTGTTTTATGTATTTTTTAATTTATTTTTCATAAAATAACATGTAGCAAGCAACTAGTCACGTTGCGTATCGCATTTCACACTAGCTCTTAAGGAATAATCGAGTTGTAATATCAAACGAATTTTCTACATTCCAGGGTTCTGTACACTTTGATATATTTATGTTCACAAAAATTGCACAAAGAAAAGAAAAACAAACATTTTTGACTGAATATTTTTATTTGTCCAAAACAAAGACTCCTCTCGGAAATGTTAAAAATTGACGACTGAGGAAAAATAAAAAAAAAAAAATATTTTGAATATTTGTATTGTTATACACGTTATATTTAGATTTCTCTGTAACATTATCTCGTTGTTGAGTGTTGATTGTGGACCATTTTGTATATACCTTATACATTTTCCGCGTGTATTCAACCTAAAATGCCTTCTCACTGTTTGTATCACAATATTTTCCTAGATAAATTCTACATGACATTAAAATGGTCCACGAATATGCAATTATAATATATAAGGCGTGAGTGAGATATATCAGTATGTATAAAATAGTAATTGTTTAGCGAATAAGATGCAGCCCAACCTAATAGCCTGGTACAAATACTCAGTAGATGTTACCATATTAAGCACGTGTAGGCAGCTGTTTCAATTACACCATAACAAATTAACATATAAGGGCCAACTTTTCTGTACTCTTATTGTGGTGTTCAATATTCAAATATACTTAGGTATATTATATTTGTTAAATCAAGGGCTCCTAAAGCAAAATTGATTCCGCTCGTAACGGCTATCAGAAGTACTAATTGGGATAAAAATCGTCTATTTAACGGTTACTGCTATATCGTTTTCGTTATTGCTTATTTAGGTTTATATAAACACTGCTCGTGTTACGGTGTCGCCACCTAGCATCAATAGTTTTTCAAACTTTGTGCAAGTTGATTAACCTACTATTTTTAATAATAGAGTACATTTTATGTTACATAATGGGTTTTTTTTTTTTTTATTATCGCTTTTGTTTCAATTAGTACTTTTTGTCTGAAGCCTCATCAAATGTGGTAATCGTTTTATAGGATTTGTAACGGTATGGAAAATGAATGCAAATCCTTAAAATGTTATTTAAATATATAAATGTCTAAAAAAAAAAGTAAGATTTTTCCATATTTTCTTATTACTCATACGTAGGTTTGTATTGTTTAGGATCTTTGATTAAAATTACGTTGTACATATTTGTACGTTTGTTGTGTGCTTGGTAAATGATTGAATGGATATTTTTACATACGTATGTGTTGCATTATTATATCAAAAAACCTATTCTTGACTACTTAAAGTCCATTATTCGTGTTTTTCTGTATATTTTTTCTTCAAATTTTCTATCGTACCGCCAAATAGTTTTAATCTACCTTCCCTATAAGATTACAAAAGTAGATAGGTTGATATTTTTCATATAAATGTATACACAATATTAGAAATTCCAATATCATCACCAAAGTCAGGCCTAAATGTATTGACATGCTATGTTTTCCCTAAAACGTAGTAGGCGTTCGAACAAGAAACGTGCCAACGTCCAATTTTCGCCATAAATTTACTGCATATCACAGTAAAATAATAGAAAAATACTTTTTTTTTTTTTGAAATTGAAGTATTTAATAAAGTCTTACAAATTGTTAATAAAAATATATCTTTATAAATTATGTACCGCTGCATCAGATAAACAATAATCATTTAGGAATGAAGGTATCCTACATTCGCACTATCTACTTGCTCTGTAGTGTAACGAAGACAATAGGCCTAGTTTAAATTATCTACGATTAATAGACAAGATACGCGCAATTCCCTACAGTTTTCTGAATGTCTTTTTATATGTATAAATTAGTACATTTAAAAACAAGCCAAGTATACATATATATATTACACTATATTATTTTTACCAACGATTTAATGGTTTCTAAGGTATATCGCTGTACATATCTGTACAAGTTGACAGATATATATATGTATATATATATATATATATATATATATATATATATATATATATATATATATATATATATATATATATATATATATATATATAAATTTTCTTCACGACACAATACACCCGTACTGTAACATACGTGTGTAAGTATAGTTGTTAGTATGCAGTATTTGTGGTGTTTCCTTTTTTTATTATTATTATATATCTAATTAGATAGATTTATTGAACAAATTGTAATTTTTAGGTGCTTATAACTAAAATATATCGTGAGTTTTTGTTTATTTTTATAAAAAATAAATCTACAGTCTTAAAGTGATATAAACGCACGAAATGTATTTCAGATAAATACGTATGTCTGTCTATCTACTTATGTGTTAATTAGTATTTTTATTATCATATAATTTGAAATACTTAATAAGAAATTATGATATTTGCTCGCACACACGTAACGTTTATATTTTTCGACGTGGAATTTGAATTTGAAAGATGTGACATGTGTTACTTTCCACAAATTCACAATTTATCTCAAAAGATTATATAAAAATAAATATATTTCGTGCGATTATGTTTTCCTTGCGACTGTTCTTCCTACTTAAAAGACAACCAACCAGCAACAAATTTAATGTTCATTGGCACTAAAGTATATGCATTTTCTTTTATTACATATAAATCTAGTTGAATTGTGGTTCTCGCATTGATTCCCAGACAAATTGTATATTTAGTAGCACGGACATTTGTAGCTTGGCTCTGAACATCGATTCATAATGATTTACGATGGAGGCTATATAACAGCAATTATTATATGAAGTAGTCTCTTGCTTCTTTTTTTTTACATTTAGTTTCATATATATATATATATATATATATATATATATATATATATATATATAATACAAAAGACATTAGATACGTTTACACTATTATAAACAGCTCGTTTTAGTGTAGAGCATTATATCTAATTTGGATATATAGATTTGAGATCTATATACACATTTTTATCTAAATAAATGTATATACATCTGAATAAAAAAAAAAACTGTCAAGGAGACAGATTGCAAATTCAAAAGTGTTTAGTCCCGGTATCATGCAAAGATATATCTTATTCTTGACTCGAGTATTTTATTAAAGATTTATGTGTAAATTCAAATGAAGGTGCAAGCGAACAATATAAAAAAGTGCGTCAAAATTTACTATATATTATGTTATATAATATTGTTGTATAGCAAATATATATTTTGTATACATAAGAATAGTGCATTTGACAGTAATCCCCCCCCCTCCCCCCGCCCCTCCTCCCAACTAGAAATATCCGTTATTATCACTAAATAGAAAATGCAATACATTCTAACTTAGACGTTAAGTTTAGCTAGACATTTAATTAGTATTTGTAATCTTTATATCTGAGATTTTCGTCCATAGGTTTTGCGTTTGACATTTATTTGCTTTATCTAGAGTTTTAGATTGTGTTTCATGCAATTCTGTATTTTTATAGTATAAAATATGTCAAGACTTTGCACACAGACACACTTTGGAACAAAATATATATTTATTTTTCTTTGTTTTCTCAATGTCCTCTACCCAAAGGTTGTCTGGAAGAGATTGCTTAGCGATAAGGCCGCCTTTTGTATCATTTCTTATTACAGTTAAATGTGTTTACTATTTTATAAATGGTGCAATAAAGTGTACATAAATAAATAAATATATATTATAAAAAAAAATTTATAGGACACTGAATTTAGTTTATGAAACTAAAACTTTTTACTGTACACCGACGTATGGGCATATTTGAAATATGGCTATATTACAAATATAGTCATATTTAAAATCATGTTAATTGGTAAAATGTTTGATAAAATGTTGTCATCCAGATTCGAATTAATATAATTTTACATGATCAGTTGATTTCGAAGTTGTTATTAAATTTATGCATTGCTATTTGCATAAAGCTATTTTCAAAGCTAAGAAGCGGTCAATCTGTTCCTTAATATCATTCTTATGATGAGTAATAATCTTAAATTATTAATAAACGTTTGATAGAGAGACAGTAACATCCGTCCAGATAGGAATATAATAGCGTAAACCGTCCGCCTCTACAGTTGTCTTAAACATAACTGTTATTTATAATTTCTTACCGTTTTATTAATAAAAATATAATATATAAACGTCTATAATATTAGTTATTTAATAATTTTTTCATTGTTTTTTTTTTCAAGTATAATTTTTAATTCGAAAAAAGTAGATTTTACGTTTTTATAAGCAACATTGTTGCAACATGAATTTTTCGTATTTTTTTTTTTTTATCAATTCAATGGGGTTTTTAAAAATATATTATCTAGTCTTGATATATTTTGTATTATAATAAAAAACGTGACAGAATTGTCATTAGGTACATTTTGGTTAAATCATGGGCATTGCTTTAAAATGCATTTAATACCTGTACTAGAATGATTGTTGTTTGCGATTGTACTTTATTCAATTGAGCTTATAAAGTAAGCATAATATATTTATTTCTCGAAGCTGGCAGTTTTTTTTTTATTTTCAATCATACCGTTTAATTGTTCTATCAGACATGAAGTTGATTTTGTGATACAATGTTCTGATGTACACTCGCAAACAGCAACGCGTTTATGAAAATTCAACTTAATTATTGTATAACGTATTGAAAATACCATAAATAAATCGATGTGTTGCGCTTCTCAAATAATCAGGTTTCCAATAACAATTACATGTGTTTTATTTCCACCTGACTTTTCGTTTTTTTTTTTATTATTATTAAATTTTCACAGGCGTATTTTATATTTTTATTTAAATCATGATTTGTTTAGACGACTTTTTTATACCGTCACGTTGCAACGTTTGCTTTTGATATGGACAAATAATTAAATGAATGGGCATTGGATAGGTTTGAAATATTTTTATAGTTCTATGACCTTTGTGAAGATATGAGACAGTGAAATTATTTTAAAGTAATTTTTTGTAGTTCGCAGATTAGTGTAATGAGTAGCAGAAGATTTATTATTATTATAAACAACAAACAGTATTTTATTTTTAAATACTAAAAGGCCTCTTCGATATTAATCACAGCGCTTTTTTTTTAATTATTTTTATTATTTAAAGCAGAAATTTTTTTTTAATTGACTTAAAAAAGAAGAAAGTTTTAAGTTCAACTATACTTTTGTGTGTGTTTCCTTTGATCCTGTTTAATTTTGTCAAAGAAATATTAAATACGTTATTATATCTTGTAATGCATTGTTTATTACTGTGGCAGAGAATGCAAATGTTTTTTATTATGACGAAAAATAAAAATCTTAAAATAAATAGAGATTATACTGTGATAGTTACCGGAGAGGCCTTTCTATAATAAAAGAAAGTCTAGAAAATTTTTTGCTACCAAAAACATTTAGTAGGGTAGTTTAAGAGTGAGAGAGAAAGATATAACTTATATGTGTGCGAGTGAGATAACGGTGAGTATTCCCTTCAGCCTGTCCGTGTTGGGCGAGTCGACCGGACGACAGAAACCTCGAATATTTTCCTCACTGGATATACAAAGGAGGTAGGGGCGCGGTGACAGCGAATTTCATATTGAGTTTGATTATTTCTATGTGGCGAACGATGCGTTTTGTGCTGGTTTTTGGAAAAAAAAAAAACAAACAAACTAATGACCTGTTATTCTACACTTGGCACTGTTTGTAAACAATTTTGGCATGTATTTTTAATGGCATAACTGCATGAAATACATAAACAGCTGAAATATTAAATTCCTTATTAATATTATTCCAAAAAACAGCAATATTCATAATATTAATACTAGATTTAAAGACAAACTTGCTGTCCCCAAGTATCGTTTAGAAAAAGTTAATAGGTCTTTTATGGGAATAGGTATAAAAATTTACAATAAGATACCAAAGGATATGTTGGAATTACCCTTAAATAAATTCAAAACATCTGTTAAATCATATTTACTGAGCAAAGCCTATTACTCACTAAACGATTACTTGAATGACGAGTGTGCATGGCAATAGTTGTTCATGCACTGAATTTTCATTTAATGTTAGACATAGACACCTATATAAATATACATTGTAAATAAACTGGCTTTAAAAAAAAAAGTAATTCAATTGAGTTTCTTGCCAGTTCTTCTCAATTGGATCTATATACCGAACTGGACGGTAGGGTAAATATAAAATTATAATATAAAAATTTGACGTTCATAAGCGGCTAAAATGTCCTACATGAATAAATGATTTTTGAATTTTGAATTTTTTGAATTATATAATGGTTTTTTTCTATTATTTAATTATATGTCATTGCGTTTTATTAATTTAAGTTCGTTTTATTTTTAATTATTAAATTTTATTAATAACATGCTACAATTTTTTTTACTAATTGTGCCCAGAATACATTCTAGTAAGCGATTCCCCCATCTTCATCATTCAATTTGGCCAGTAGTATTAATAATTATTACAAATTGTCTTATGTTAAACTAAATTAGAGAAAATATAAAATACAGCATAAAAAAGAAATTGATAAGATTTGGTACATTTTCCCCCAATCTATGGGTCGGACGCTCTTATGTAGATAGACTCTTTATTTGAATCAAGAAATACACTAAAGATTGTGACAATAGTAAGGGAAAAAAATAAACAGTGTTTAACAAAAGGGCCAGATACACAAAAACAATTTACATAACATAATATGTGAAAATGTAATATGTGAGCCACAGTGATACAAAAAGGCAATATCTCTGTGAATTGTTTGCTAAATAAACAAATCACAGATTTTTAGTTACTGTTTTATTTATTTAATACAATTTGTCTTTGAAAGTAAAAGAAAACCTTGACTCATAAGTTCTTGATTGATCAATGTTTATATAAATATATGAATATATAATAAATGTAATTTAGTATACGTCAAGATTAAATATTTTCAAAAGCAAAAAAAGAACTCTCATCCACCATGTACAACATAACGTATCGTTCAACCACTATTTATTGAAGCATTCTGTGTGTGTTCGAAATTGGAAATGTGGTCCAACCGATTTACACTTTTTATTTATATATGTATAAATATAAAATAACAAATTATACAGCGTAATGTTTGTATATACTTTTTTAATGGCCATAATACTTGCATTGCATGAAACTTACGCTCAGGAGTAGAGTTTTAATAAGTAATGATAATGTACGAGAATAAATAAAATCTTCGAAATTTTTTAATTGCATTTTTATAATTTACTTATTAAAAATTTTCCACATGACTCATAAAGATTTTCTATATTTTTTTTATTTTCAATAATTTTTGTTAAAGAAAAAAATTATTAAATTCCATAAAATTAATATGTTTTGTTCTACATATTTATTATGTTTAAAATTTCTGGTATTATTTCGTTTGCCCTGTATATATTAAAATGAAAATATCGTATTTATATTATTACTAAATTTTTCATTTTCTCAATAAAATTGTTATATAATTTTTTTGGTAAATATTAATAAATATGTCAAGCTATTAAGTTATTTATGAAGTGCGATTGCATTAGAGTAGCAGTTTACAAAATACTCTAAAAAAATAACAATATTAATAAAATTTTATTATATTTCATATAAAAACCCATGGAATGTTTATCATGGATGTACTGTGTATGCAAAGTGTTAAATTGGATGGATTACTGTTTGTTCGTGAATAACATTTAATAACATTTTGTTTTTGTTTTTTAATATTGCTGCAAATTTAACGTTTTTACTAATCGTGTGTTGCATTTTGCTCCTAATTACTTTTTTGAGAGTCCAATGAGTAATAATTGTTTATTAAATTTTAATAACAAATTTTGGATTTTTTTTATATTTAATTCTTAATTTTATTAATTAATAATATTCACATTTATTGTAAATAATAAATGTGAAGAATTAAAGAATTAATAATGTTTAAATAATTCTCTTGTTGGAATGCAGATTTTTGTATGTGTGATTGATTTTTTTATATATTTTTACTTTTATATTTTTTATTTATTATATTATATATTGAATTAGTTTGTGGAGAAAATAGATTCTTTCATTATTAGTATGTTTTAGGGGTAGTTTTTGAAGACTTTTTTTCTTTATTTAATATAAATTCAATGTAGTTTTAAGTACTTTTAGAAATGGACGACGTGTAGCCATAAAATGTTAGAATAAATAAAGTATACTGTAACTCAAATCGTCGGGAGTAAGACGAGTATGATGCCCATGGGCAGCCAATATTCATGGTGCTATTCATATCTATAGATGATGATTAACGCTTTCTATCAAGTGGATCGTCAACTAGTTAACCATTCGCAGTGTATAAAAATTCTTTTGAACGAGTATTGACTCATTTCCACGTTCGTCTAATGGTAATATTGATAGTCCAGAAGGTTAATTTTACTATTATTTAATATTATACAATTTGTTTTTGCGGTTTATGTATTAAGAAGAGAACTCTTAACACAATTATTTCATTGTTGGACTGTATTCCAAAACAATTTCCTATTATAATTATGATGTCGGTTTTCTTTTCGTTTTAATTTCGAGTATGTTCGACTAGTTTCAAAGTTCATTTTAATACTGCTCGCGAAACAGCCTTAGTACACGCTAATAAGTAAGAGCTCCTATAGAGTATTATTATACAATTTTGATATTATTTAAATTTTTGTATTAGCTCTTTTCTTTTAATGTAAACCTACGTTTTACATTACACGCGTATGTCATTGGATGGATACTTCCCCTTAAATGTTTAGTAATCTTAAAATCTTACAAAATAAATAAATAAAAATAAAAAAGACAATATTTTTTTTATAACTTGTAAGTGCATTTTTTTTTATATTTAAGCATGTTTAGGTGTAGGTAATATTATATTTAATATATTATAGGTAAAATAATATTTAAAGGTACCAAGTAGAGATGGGCAATCCACCTGGGTGGGTTTAAAGTCTGGTGGGTAAAAACCGGGTGTTTTGGGTTTATTGGGTTTAAACCCCATAAACACCCAAATTTTTGGGTGTTTATGATTTTGTACTTCATCATCGTCATCTCAGCCGCAAGACGTCCACTATACTGGACATAGACAATATTATTATGCAGCCTACAGAATAAAAAACTTTTAATTTGATTTTGAGTTTATTAAGAAAGAGATGAAAGTAAAATGTAAAACTACAGTCAATCACTGTCAGATTCAGAGTTATTACAAGCGATGAATTGTATAGGTTCGATAGGCTCTATTTCGTCTAAACTGTTATGTTCATTTACTTGCTCAATGAAAGCTTCTAAGGTATTTTCTTCATTAAACTGAATGTCCTCGCATTCAGCTTTATGTTTAAGATTCCAGTTATAACAAATGAATGAAATTTTTTCAGTTCTTTCAGTTGTAAGTCGATTTCTTTTGTTATTATGTATGTAGCCTTGGATACTAAAGGAACGCTCAGTGGCTGCCGAAGTACAGGGAGCTGATAGAATACGAATCGCTACTTTGCTTAACTCAGTGGAACCACAAATACCTTTCCACCATATTAGGGGCTCAATGCTATCTAATGAGCTCCATACAAATCCTCTGGCCCAAAAGTTTTCTTTAGCTTTATAACACGCCAAATCTGCCATTACATTTGACAAACTTAAGTGTTGGCTTAAATTGTAGATAAACTCCATACCCTTAAGTTCTTCCTCTTGAGTAAGTTCGACTCCTAGAGTCCTGGGGTCTAGAATATATGCTGCAAAATGTATTGGCCTCATTGCCATATTGCATCTTGAAGATACTGATGTTAGAATCTGCTGTTTGCTTTCTTCGCTCAATGTCGAAATCTCATTTAATGCAAAACGTATCTTAGCTTGTACATCTCTAAATGTAATGTATGTGCGATGCAAACGATTCTGGTCGCTCTCTAAGTAAAATATGCTTTCAGTGACTGGTTCCAAAATACTTATACATTCCCCTGTCTTCGTCCAGAAATCATCACTTAGAATTAAATCTTTAATATCTCTTGAAATTACCACATCTTCTCTAACTGTTAATATTTGCAAAGCTATCTTATTTGCTTTCAAACTTTTTAACGAAGTAACATGACTTCCCCATCTTGTAGCACAAGGCAATTTTAGTGTTTGTGTAGAATCTTCACCCTGCCTTGATTTTATCAACAAGGAACTTAATCGTTGACTCCTTTTAACAGTTTTTATTATATTTATGGCTTGCATAATAAACACAGTTACTTCTTGTATCTTTACAATATCTTGGCACAACAAGTTAAGGATATGTGCACAGCAACCGAGAGGAACAACATGTGGATATTTGAGTTTTGTTAATTCGAATGCCTTTTGTATATTTCTAGCGTTATCGCCAATAAGTACAAGAAACTTATTTGCTCCATACACTTTCATTACTTTTTCAACTTCTTGGCTAAGGTATTCACTAGTGTGAGGATTACTTTCTGTATTCAAACTTTTAACGTATGCAGGTTGAGGTTTTGATATAAGAAAGTTTATTATTCCTTCATTTCTTAAATTAGACCAGCCATCGCACTGAAGGTGTAAGTAACTACAAGCATTTAGTTCCTCATTTAACTCAAAACGCATTTCTCTATATATTTTATCTAAGTATTTTGTCGCTAAAGCTTTACGTGAAGGTATTTTAAATTTTGGTTGCAATTTTTCGAAAAATTGTATCCATAAAGGATGTTGCACCATCGATAATGGCGTCCCTGTTACAAATATAGCTCTCGCTAATTCTGTTTTTATATGATCATCGGTGTCTTGAAACTCAGCATTTATTGTAGTGTTAGCAGACGACGAGGGGCTTATAAAAGAATCATTTGTCTCTATCTCTGACAGTCCAGACATTTTGGTTTTGGACGAGCTATCTTTTATAAGTTTCATAGAGTCTTTTAATGTTTCTGGAGATTTTGGACAAGTGATAAGATGTTGAAGCATTTTGGCAGCATTACTGAATTTGTAGACCTTATTACAAAGCTTGCAAGAAACAGACTTGTTTGGTAAAGTACGGTAGTGCTCCCATATGCGTAAATCTTTAGGTCTCCCCATTGAACCTAAAAAAATGAACGATGATTAGTTGGTCTGACGAAAATTCAACAATAGAGTGCCTATTTTTTTACAATGATTATTTCTTGTTATTTACAATAAATTTATTAAAAAAATAATAAAATAAATACAAAAAACCTTTGTAAAATTACATCTCCTCGGAGGATTAAACGCAGACGCTAGTTTATTATCGTATTGTTCTGTATTTTTCTCAGCAACTTCTTTAATTCGATTAGGTACTTACGCATATTATGTTAAAAATAAATATCTAGTACACATCTTAGGCTATCCACCATTATTATCCAATGACGACTCTCAGCTAACTATGCACTATCATCCAAAATAAACGTGTATGGAAAATTTTATCCCAGTCGGTTGAGGATTGAGGATAATTGCATCAACATACGAACATACCTACATACTTTTATTTACATAACGCAAGCTAAATAAAAGCTTGTAATAATACATCTAATTTTAAGTTAAAATTGTTAAGTGATCATGATATAATTGTATCATTCAAAAATCCACTTACCTTTAATTATTTCTTGTTAAGTATAAATATTATTTCAAATCTGCTCCCTTAATATGCACTTTTTTACTGCTTTTCCTACCTAACACGTTACCAGGAAGTCACGTTACCAGAGTCAGAGTAATAGTGAACACGTTTGACAGTGATTGTCGTCGCCACATATTCAGCGTCGACGAATAGGGGAATCCCCAGTCATAATGTATTGCATGCGTGGCGGTCTTACTTCAAATCCATAAACAAAGAGATAATTACAGAACTCGATACTAGATGGCGCTGTTTTTGTTTGAAGAAAGTTTGCGGGCTAAAATACATAGAATTTCATCAATGACTTCCACAAAGAACAACATTTCTGTTTTTTCTAAGTCCGTATCTCTTCCGTATATTTCATAAGATATAAGCTTGGGCTACATTGTTATGCAACGTGATTTTGTCGCTGTCTTGCTAGCAGGGTTGACAGATATACGATTTAAATCGTACTCATACTATTATTTGTCTATTTTTTAATGTACGATCGTAAAGATTATGATCGTAATTCGCACAAAAACATACGACTTTTTGGTTACCTGGCAACATTTTTATTATGAAACGAACATGCTCACATCATCAGTCACATGCAACAATTTATTGGGGATTTCCCCTTCACATCTGGCAGTCCTGCTTGCTAGAATATAGGTAAGTCAGCCACAGTTACTGACGATCGATATTTAAAGGGTATTGTTTTTGTGCTAAATATTTCATAAAAACGTTATTTAATACTTTGTGGATTATTAATTTAGTTGATAATCACTGGAAGTAAAATGGATGCTAATTTGAGAGATCAAGATCTTCGTATAAAACAGTTAATAAAAGAAAATCTACGTAAGTACTCTTTTTATACCTAGGTAGGTAAGGTATAATAAACACAAAAGGTACTTAGATCGCGTGTGTTCGAAGCATTTATTCTAATAAATTTAATTTAAAATTGTAGAAAGAAAAAAATGTCTGCCAAGCCGTAGCCGAAGCCGATCTCCAAATATATTTGGCGATAGTGAGACCCAGTGTCCAGATGATTTACCCAGCGTCGTCGCAACAAAGAAAAAAACGAGGATAAAGTAAAAGAAAATTTACTGAAAGAAGAAACAAACTGTTCTAAATGCTTAATTTATGGAGAAGAGGATAAAAGAAATGAGTATTTCGGACTGTTAGTGGCTCAAGAATTTAAATATATACGGCCATGTGTGCGAACGAGGTGTTATGAAGAAATTTTAAAGTATCTACGGGAAGCAAAAGGCCAACATGTTGATCAACTGCAACATGAAAACACTGAAAATTAATTACTTTCATTTTATTATATATAGATTTTTAAAATTTCCTGAAATATTATTAGTTAACGTTTTATTTAATATTGTAGAATTGATCAATACAATTTATAAAAATAATTTATTGGTATTACTTACATATTTTCAAAAAAATACGTAAAAACCTATTTTTTTGGGTGATTATGGGAGTTTATGGGTGTTTATTGGGTTTTTACCAAAGCACCGGGTTTAAACCCGGTGCTTTGCCCATCTGTAGTACCAAGGTAAGTTTCATTCATGCCTGAACGCCCGCATGTCATCATTCGATACGACGCAATAGTGGATGCTTGCTTTTTTTTTAATGTAACCCTTGTACTTCCTTCTGTGAGCACATTGGTGTGTTTGTGCATTTATAACAAGCGAACTTATTGGCTATTTTTTTTTTTAAATTGCTCTGTAAATATATCTGGATTATGAATATTTTAATCTATTTTTCATTCCTCGAAAGTAAACAAACTTTTATGCTAATATGTCTGTCACAGACAATTCTCAGAATTCTTTGACTTGTACTTTGTGTATATAATTTGAAATTTAAATATATTTTGTTATAAAGAGGAGGAAATAATATTATTTTGTTTTGTCATATTGGTTTTTATCATATTGGTTTGTTAAAGAAAATCTAATTATGTTTTCAATATAAATATTACATTAAAAAAGCTAATTACGTTTTAACAATCCTTATTTAGTTTTTTTTAACCAATAATCAAATAAAGTTATTATAATAATTGTAATTAATTTAAAATTAATCGAAAGTTGGTTTTTTACGTGAATAAGTTTCTAAATTTTTGAAACATCGCAGAGCACTAAAATTCTAAATTGAAACCCTTTGCCGGCTTGTTACAATCATCTATCTTACCGTTCGTTTGTGCACACCCCGTGACCGAGTCACTAGTGTTAGTTTTATGTTTTTCTGTTTTTAGGCCATTGGAGGGCACGACCCCGAAGCATGCCGTAGCTGCTAGCCCACAAGCCCTGCTTGGGTAATTATCATTTATCCCTTGTTTTGTCTATGTACAAATATGAGTCAGTCATCATTTCGTAGCTAGCAGTTGATCTAACTTTTAATCGTAAACGCAGCGTATTGACAGAGCAATGATCGTGTAATGTAACATTTGTCAAATTATTTCTCCGTAATGTAACACTGATGTAATACTTGTTACCAAGTTGTTACATTACATCAATGCTCTATTGAATACGCACTCTAATGTAACATTCGCAGCGATGTTTTGTCTATGTACAAAATTGGATTCACACATCCTTTCATAGCTAGCGGCTGATCTAATATTCTATCGTAGATTGCGTATTGATCCTGAGCATGATCGTGCAATGTATCCTATTGTTTGTTACATTATGTGAATATGATGTAATGTTCAACACTAAGTTTTTACATTACGCGAATGCTCTAGTGAATACCCACCTTAATATAACATCCGCAATTAACGTGTAGATCACGGCGTTAGCTTTTAGCAGGCTGATTTGTTTTAGCTCGACTGGCTGTTATTTTACATTGTTCACAATCTAACATTACATTGTGTTTAAGTTATGATAGGTCTGTCGCCAGCTTTAGATCATTTTAAGCGTTTAGGATGGAGAAGGATATACATAGTTGCTTTTATCCCATATCCTGGTTATGTTTAAGAAGTCGCTAGGTTAAAAGATAAATTATACATAGACTTGTAAAAACGGTTTGTTGGCTGACTTCATAGTGTACTTATTTTATATACAAATACGAGGTAAGGAAATTCAACAAAATTTTGTTACGTTAAATAATTCTTCCAAATTGTTGATTTTTAAAGTTGATCCGTTAATTGTTTTTTAAAGTACGTATTATGAGTTGAATTTCATTATAGTACTCGTTTAGAACAGAGTGTAGCCCACAGTTGTGAACTCGTTTGTGTGAAGATATTTTGTTTTTGTTCTACATATTTATAGCATATTGCGCATTTTCTTTTTAATAAATCTCCATATTTTTAATATATGTTCTAGTGTTTTCTTAGAATTTTTTATTTTTTTATTTCGGAACTATTTCTTTTGGTGTTTTCTTAGAATTAAAGTCTTTTAATTTTGGAACTAAATTTTGAATTTGAATTAACTTTGAATTAAAAAAGCAATGCCTTTCCTAAAGAAAGAGATAACCGACCAGCTTCGCCTTTTCTTTCAACTTACTTCAAAAAGAAACAGGAAAAAATACAAAAAGAATATACTTACACATGCAGTCCCATGAAATTTTATCAAAATCAGTTCCAATAGTTTGGAAATCAAAAGAACTGGTTTTACAATAATGGAAGGCTTTTTTTTTTTTGTGTATGGAACATATTCATAATTATAGCACTATCTCTATCACTCACACATATAAGAGTGACAGTGATAACGCTATACAGAGACGAAGCTAGTCGAAATTATACTTTCGTACAGTTGAATTTGTACGTAAAATTGAATACATGATTCCTCATACTGTCATTTATTGTAGAAGATATGTAGGCATTTAAAGTACATATGGCGATTTGTATAGGATAGTAAAAAAGAGGGGAAGGGGGGATGGATTTTGTTCCTCAAAAAAGTCGAAACAATATGTTTAGTTGTCCTTTGCCGTAGCTTTTTGGGTATTGTTACCTCATTCAACATTTCTGTATGCAAGGAGTCTACTGCCACATTGGCCAGACGGTTTGATATATTTCACTTCGAGATTTACGTCTCTTGTACTGTTGTTTTGCACTTTGTTCTCCACGTCGCCTCTTGCGGCTTTCTGAGGATATTAAGAAGTGGTAATAGCATACTCTTACTTCATTACCACATGGTGAATATAGTACTAATATGAACTGTGTAACGGAACAGACAAGGCAACGAGGAGCAGGTGAAGCCGCGAGTGCTTCGCTTCACGTGGAGTATGAAGACCACCTCCTCACGGGACCCCAACGAGATCATGGCGGAAATACGAAAGGTTAGTATATAAATATAGTACACACTTGGATGATGTGTTTTTTTTTACAACACAGGGGGCAAACGAGCATGCGGCTCACCTGATGGTAAGTGACTACCGCCGCCCATGATCACCCACAACACCAGCGGCATTGCAGGTGTGCTGCCGGCCTTTTAAAAAGGAATATACTCTTTTCTTGAAGGTTATGTTGTCGTATCGGTTCGGAAATACTGCTGCTGGAAGTTGATTCCAAAGAATGGTTGTGCGTGGAAGAAAGTGCCTTGAAAAACGCACGGTGGAAGACCGCCACTCGTCCAGATGATTGGGATGAAAATTCAAATATTCTGCTCATTTGTGTAAAGTGTCACATAAAAGATATAGAAGAATAAAAAATTTTCTTCTTTTTGATGTTTATCTAAATTACTAGTAGAGTACCAGAGGGAGACTTTGTACAAAAGTCGATTGCTTGGGTACCTCTGTCTCATTCGTGTTTCAACTGTTGAAGCAGCTGTGTTTGCATGGCTGTGTTTCGGTTTGAAGGGTGGGATATGGCGTGAATTTATTGGGTACAGAGGAATAACACCTGAGTCCTCAGGAATGGCAACGCATGGGGGGTATCATTGGCGAAACAGTATACTCTGTTATGTCCATGCTACTGCTCATGTCTATAGGCGACGATTACCACTTTCCATCAAGTGGACCGTTAGCTAGTTTGCCATTCTAAATTGTATAAAAAAAAAACTCAGTCAAACTTAAAATTTTTATGTAATTTTAAATGGCAATCAAGTTGACGGTTTACTTAATGATTAAGTAACCGTCGCCTTTACACATTAACAGTACCATGGACATCTTAGGATATTCAATGACGCCCATGGGTACCTCCCATAGGTTATCATTCCTAAAGTCTGTGGTATATTATTCTTTTGTTTCTTGTAATTTTTCTACCAAACTTTTTTGACCAGATATTTAAAAACAATTTGGTTTACAGGTGTTAGACGCCAACAACTGCGACTACGAACAACGCGAGAGGTTCCTCCTCCTCTGCGTCCACGGCGACCCAAATACCGACTCCCTTGTCCAATGGGAAATCGAGGTGTGCAAGCTGCCGCGCCTCTCGCTCAACGGAGTGCGCTTCAAGCGAATATCCGGTGAGTATACTCGTAGAACGAACTTTGATAGACTCCGGACTCGTGAGTACCCCACGCAAATGTGTGTGTACGGGAACCCAGAGGGAGACTTTGTACAAAAGTCGATTGCTTGTGTACCACTGTCCCATTCGTGTTTCAACCGTGAAGCAGTTGTGTTTGTATGGCTGTGTTTCGGTTTGAAGGGTGAGATATGGCGTGAATTTACAGGGTACAGAGGAATAACACCTGAATCCTCAGGAATGGCAATGCATGAGGGGTATCATGGGCGAAACTGTATACTCTGTTATGTCCATGGTACTGCTCATGTCTATAGACGACGGTTACCACTTTCCATCAGGTGGACCGTCAGCTTGTTTGCCATTCTAAGATGTATAAAAAAAAAACCCTAACGTGGACTTGCTCATCTTATGTGGTGTGCAAACTGACATGTTTTTCGCTCAGAGAGCGTTTTAAATGAATGTCCGGTGAGTCTAGAATGAATTTTTATAGACACCACACTCGTAAAATACCTTACCAAAATGTGTGTGTACGGGGACCCTAACGTGGAGTTGCTCGCCTTGGACAATGGTGCAAACTGTCTGTGCAACTACCCCTCACTTAACAGAGGGTATTTCAAGCGAATATCCGATGAGTCTTGTATTAGATTATAAATCTCTTGAGTACCTCATGTACGTATAGACAGAGATCCTAACGCTGGCTCACTCGTTCAGTGGGAGATCGAGTGTGCAAGTACTTGTTTAAGTTGTTCTAGTCGAGGATCATTAGTGTAGAAGAATAACATGCAAAATATGCATGCAATGTTAAATAAATGTATGAACAAGAATCCTAAAGGTTATATTGATTATATATAGAAAGACATAGAAAGGGTGAAATCGAAATAATTTGTATGCTTTGAGGGAGTGTCCAATACTTTTCAGTCTTCATACAAAAACATAGAGTTCAGTTATCAAATTATTTTTTGGTTATTTCGACTTATATAAGTTTATGAAATAGGTTTCTTTGGACAAAGCGTTCACTAAGGATTTCGTTCTCACCTTGTATGTGTTTAGATGAACTGAATGTATCACGAATCCGACGTATACATTTGCAGGCACCAGCATCGGCTTCAAGAACATTGCGTCTAAGATCGCCAACGAGCTCAAGCTGTGACTGCCCGGGAGCGCCCCGCGCCGGCGCCGCCGCCGCCGCCTGCCGCTCGCGCCCTCGCCCTCCACGCCCGACTCGTCCGCGCCGCTGCACGCGCCACCCTCGCCTCCCTCGCCGCCAGCCAAGCCCCTGCCGCACCCGCACGCATTCATCACCATCACCCCACGCTCACCCCGCCCGCCGCCGCTCATCTCCTCCTCCGACGAGCGCGACACCCCACCTCCCCCGCCGCCTCCTCCGCCCCGCACTGACTCTCTTCGCTTATCGGCTGAAGATATGGTGCTAGTCGCAAACGGGGGCATGAGGACTCCCTCAGGGGCCCTAGCTCATTTCCTGGCCGCATATACACCGGCAGAGCTCTCGCTCGCCCGCAGTGATTACCTCCGCCCCCCGCTGTCCCCGAGCCGATCCACCGTCTCCTCTGCTCAGATCCACCCTCGCTCCTCCCTTTCGTTGCGGGCGGAGAGCGCGGACGTCGACGACGGGGCCAGGCTGCTGCGTCCCAAAATGCCGCATCAGTCCTACTCCTACAGCGTCCACACCCTCAGACGCCAGTCTCGGGCCCGCTCCCCGCCTTGCGACTGCCTCCCGGTCGATCCGATCCCCCCTCCCGAATTGTTCGATTTTTAAACGCTCCTGCTCAATTTCGCCACTGACTTTCGCGGCCGATACTCGGTTTTTGAATTTGTATCGATTTTGAATGTTTGAAAATTTGAAAATCGAATCGGCCATTTTTGTAACTATGAATTCTTTTTGAACTGTCGAACGTGTCGTAGGTAATGTAAATTGATAAGTTCGATTTTTAAATTTGTCGAGCGACAGCAGTGTTGCGCTGTTGTCGACGAGGAATTCTGTCGATGCGTACCTACATAGTGATGTAACAATGATTGACTCGTATGTCGATAGTTGGACGTTCTAATGGTATATGTGCCAATGAGGTATCAGGAAGAGATCGCCTTCGAAAGCGAACAATTTTATTCGAGTATGTTTACTGTAACTTAATTTAATATTTTAGTTGAATTACGCAAATCGCTCTCAATTTTACGCCACTTGTAATATAGATTTACTCATGAATTTTTATTCTTTGCCCCTTATGTAGATATGTAAGTTGACTGATCGGTCGACGGTACCGCGCGTTCGGTTGTTTATATATGGCTCTAGTTTATTTATATCAATATTATTGTCGATTAACTTTATAGTCTGTTTTACGAAATCTGTTTTTTTTTTTATTTAAATACGTATCGTTTCCTGTGGGGCGTGCGGTACCGTCGTCTCGTAGGATCGTTCGTGCTATGGCTTACCATATAAACATTACGTATTTTTATCTTGTAATAATGTACAAAGTGAGTTCGCGCTCAAGAGATACAATTTAGCATTAGTTTTTAATTTTAGTATTCTTTTCCAATTGTAATGACAAATATAAATATACAAAAAACATATGGCTGTCGTCGAATAGCGATATAACTGTTCATATTATCGGTATAATAAATTAAGTATGTGTCGATCGACCGGTTTGTGTTGGCACGCAGTAATGTTGATGTTGCAAGGGGCCGCGTATCGAGATAAGCTGGTCGGCCGACGGTAGTGCGGTCGCCCATTGCTGTCTTTCTAATTGTAAGGCTGGATTAGAAAGTGTCAAAGGTTCATTGTAATGTTACAGGATGGACTCACAATCTAGACTCTAGATATATTTACACTAAATAAAATTATTATGAAATAATTATTAGATGTAATGTATTTGTGATCAAAGTATTATGGACTTCGTAGTTACATAGCAATAATGTTTATAATTGTAACTTAATTTCTATATTACGTCAGCCTTCAATTTTTTAATTTTGGAACGGTTCTCCATTTTTTTTTTTGTGATTTAGTGTGACGCTTTCTTTCTGTATTCATTCATGTGTGACGTTTTCGCATACTAGATCATAAATATTAAATATAGGTTTGGATGTGCAACGCAATGCGGTGACCGTGGATATTTTCTATTATTATATTTAAGTGTAGCGTTATAATTTTACATGGAATCACATTTACGCATCGGATACTTCGGTCGGACGTTGTCGCGCTGTCGGAAACGGAATGTGTCAAAAAACTGTCAAACTCATGTCATTATTGTGTTGATATTTATAATTTTGTGTAAAAACATTATATTCGGCAATGTTTTGTTTTATTTATTGCAATTATTGAACCAAAGGTATAAAAAGAATATGAATTAATACTAAATATAATTATGTCGAATTTACAGGATAATTATGATATGTCTATGGAATAATCTTCAGAAGGTCGGGTATATTCTTTATATCTCTGATAAGGTACTGTATAGTTTTTTTTTTTTTATTTCTGTACAACACTTATCTTTTCCATTTCATAGAAATATGTTAGAAATATATAAATTTGTCGATAAAAAGTATATTTCCCATCTCTACAGATTGTCAATGAACTCAACTTGTCAATTTTTTAAAAGTGAATTTTATGGTGTTATAAATAAATATGAAAAAAAAGGGATGTGGGAGTAGGTAACTCGTATAAACAGGGTGTTCACATTAAATTGTTGTTTTTTTTTTCTAAAAATAAGACTAAATTTTATATATATATTTCAATAATATAAAAGGCATTTATTATTACATTTTTTAATTAGAAAATCAATTCAATTTGAGAGAAAAGATGAGAAATGGGTATGAATATTTTGCAGTATTTAAACTAGGTAAGGAAATGATTTAATTTGAGATATACAGAAAAGTGTTTTTATATCTCATATTGCATCGGATATTTAAGAATGAAGATTTTTTTTTATGTAAGTATAACACGCTAGTTAATTTTGTAAGAGATATTTGACTGTCGGCTGTTAAATTAACTTCATCAAGTATATATACTTAATATTATATAATTTTGGACTTTTGCATTATTGGCGCACTTCAGTCTTGTCGTGGCCACGACATGGTGCAATCCACGTCGAAACATCGGCAATAAAAATCAGATATGTAGGTACTATCAGCAAAAAATTTTCATCGCTTTAAGTCCCGATAGTTTATTTAAAATACCAAATATTAATATTAAAGAACTGTTAAAAGTTTATTTTTCTATAATTAGTAATTTTCCCTACTTGCTGATGTCAAAAATAAAACATCGATATCAAAAAATATCGACAATTTGTCAACACTAAGTCACATTTACGTTGGTTAAATTAATTTAGTTCAATATAGCGTTGATTTAGGTAAATATTTCTATGGTTATTTTGAACATCGCCACAAATTTTTAATAGCATGGATAAATGTTTATGCGCAAATGGCGTCGGCTATGGTTTATTGTTAATTTTATAGATAGTACTAATTTCATAGTGTTATCTTAATAAATATTCACCGTCAGTATTGTCCAAGCTGAAATAATGTATTTAAAATTTTACAATATATTATATATATATATATATATATATATATATTTTGTAGAATTTTAATCTCAAATATCTCTGCTCTGATATTGTCTAGGCATGGCCTCCATAATAAGATTTGTTCCTTTTAAACTTAGCTTTCAATGTAAGTTAAAAAAATTTGTTTAAAGCCACCTAAATTTTACCCATACAAATATAATAAAATGAAAAAAGGTAAACATATTACGAACGCGCCGAAAATAGAATCTACAGAAGATCCTAATTAGAGCTTCTGTGACATTGGCATACACTTTCGCGCCAATAATAAATTTACATTTTTTTAATCCGTAGAAGAAGAAAACTATAGAAATACTATGAGAGCGTATGCATTATGAAATAGCAATAGAATGACGTCATTGAGCAAACGAACAAATAAATATACTCTATAAGCTGCAGAAACCGTTTACCATCAGACGAGCCGTATGCTTGTTTGCCAACTTTGTGGTATAAAAAAACTTTTTCGCGAATATTTAATTTGAATGTGCAATATAAACATATTTTTGAAGTGACAAATAAATTGATTAATCGAATAATAAAAGCGTACCTACGCAAAGCAAGACAATAATATTTCCGATCTCGCTCACACTTCGTGTTTTGCTTATAAAGGTGTCTCGTTCTAACTATTGTGTGTCGTTTCTATCAGGAGCGCAAGAACTAGCGTAAATCTATTCCTTAGTCACTTCATTCCTTTTTAAATTATCCGACAAGATGGTGAAATATGTATATGTGTTTAAATTCGGATTTTTTTTAAATTGTTTTCTAAACGTACCTTTAATTATTGTCACATTCTTTGACATGTGTGTTATTCCGATAATTGTCTGTTAATTGCCTTGTAGATTCAGAAAATAATATACGTAATATATGATTAAATATATTTATTCTCCACAGCGCAACAACGCACCGACCCACATAATACTGTTTCCATACCTACTGTAGTAATATATTTATATATATGAGCTTTGTTTTATTATCTACTAAGGTGATGTCGACGCGTCGGTCTGTCGCCGACACGTGGTACCTACGCTGTTTTTGTGAGATAATCAAGTGGAAATAAATTTTATTTTTAATTCCATGCTTGTGATGTTTCTTTTTGATGTTCAGTGTTAAATAATAGGCCTGTAAAGTTATGTACCATGACTAATGTCAGGGGAAGATTATTAACGGGGACTAGCGGCCCCATTGCAAGCAATGTACTCGTACCTTGTCTGGTTACCCTCTGAGATTGATGAAAAATAATCGTGATTAATTTATCGTAAAATTTGTCACGATGGGCTAACTAAAAGAGAGGGAGATTTTATACAAAAGTCGTTTGCTTGGGCACCTCTGTCCTATTGGTGTTTCTACCGTGAAGCAGTTGTGTTTGCAGGGTTGTGTTTCGATTTGAAGGGTGGGATATGGCAGTGAATTTACAGGGTACAGAGGAATAACATCCGAGTCCTCAGGAATGGCAACGCATGTGGAGTATCATGGGCGAAACAGTATACTCTGTTATGTCCATGGTACTGCTCATGTCTATACGATAGATGACAGTTACCACTTTCCATCAGGTGGGCCGTCAGCTTGTTTGCCATTCTAAGTTGCATAAAAAAATGTCAGCTGGGAAGATTGACGGGGACTAGCGGCCCCATAGCTAGCAATATACTCATACCTTGTGGGGTTACCTTCTAAGGATAACGAAAAACAATCGTGATTAATTCCTTGTGAAATCGTCAAGATGGGCCAACTGACCGGGCTTCATCTGTTAGTAAGTTAATATTTTGTTTTTTTTTTTAATAGGTGATAATGGAATGGTAACCCCACCCGCGCTATCGGTATAAACCGGCGGAGCACCAGTGAGGGGTAATAGGTGAGGATGAAAGCAGCATCGTTAGCCCATCGTGAGGAATTCCACTAGAATTAACCACGATAGTTTCCAGGGAGAACCGCGTGAAGGTCGACCTGATATTGCTAGTAATGAGAAAATTAGACCCCATTACTAGCAATCCCTTTCCTTCCGACGCGCGCGTTGCCGACCCTAAAGCAACCTTAATACGTTCATTTTGAAGAATTAGTATTAAGTAAGTTACAGCAGTAGTTTGTAGTCTCTAGGGTCTAGGGTTCCTCATCGGCAGGAAAGATCATTCCACAAGCTGAGTGTTCCCGGGAGGAAGCTCTTCTGAAACCGCACTGTGCGAGACCATTCTGGTTCTAAGGTGTGAGGATAGTTTCTAGTTATAAACTAAACCTGATTGGGGGGAAAGGGATTGTTAGTAATGGAGACTGAGAATCCCATTGCTAGCAATATACCCAACCAGGTCGACCTCCTCGCGGTTCTCCCTGGAAACTATCACAGTACATTCCTGATGAATTCATCATGATGGGCTAACTGGCCTGTTTTCATTCTCATCTATCACCCTTCACTGGTGCTCCGCCAGCGTATCCCGTTAGCGCAGGCGGGGTTACCATACCATTTTCATCCAATAAAAAAAAAAAAAACTAAACCTGATTATGATTTTAAATTCATGAATCCATGTTGTATGTCCATCCAATAGAAAATCCGCGGAATTTCCATCAGTAATTACGTACAAATTTTTTAATTATACTCTAATATATTAGAATTGTCTATGAATGTTTATTTAGGTAAACTTCGAATTGAATTTAAAATAAAATCAAAAAAGAATTTTTTATATTTTATTCATAAAAAATACTGTTAACCTGACTAATGTTTACATTTAAAAACAATTTAAAATAAATAACAAGCATAACATTTATTTACACATTAAACACTAAAATGTCGGTTAGGTACACAGGTTATAAAAGAATTAAATTTAAATACTAAATATAGAATTAATTACTAAAGATAGATTACAATAAGAATTGATATCTAAAATTCCCAAACAACAACTGTAAACAAACAACAATAATTAACAATACTGAATAAAAAATATATTTATTATTTAGTATTAATATTTATATACAAATTATAATTTGGGATCTGCAGAGGACGCCATATTGAAATGGAAAACACAGTATCTCTTTTACGCAAAGTAATGTGGCCTATTCTGAGGAACAATTTTTTCAAATCTATTTCTTAATTTAAAATTTCAGTTTTGATATTACAGAGAAATATTTATTGTAAGAACCAATATGATATAAATTTCTAATAAATTTAAGCCGAAATTACTTAAAAATATTAAATTTATCATCCAAAAAACTGTAATTTTGTGAAAATACTCGTATTAAAATATTTGGTGAAAAGTAAGTAGAGAAAACGTCTCAAAATCGACCCAAATGTGCCTACCACGTAGGTCATAGTCTTATTAACTTTGAACTACATATAATGTGAGATTACTTATTGATAATCGACGTTAAAAGCTCACTTTGCAGACCCTATGGCGCAATCAAAGCCGACAAATACCTTAGTCTATTATAAAAAGTCTATTTAATAAACCAAATATTTAAGCTAATAAGGAATTTTTATCAGATATAACACAGATATTAAATAATACGGCAAAGAAATACTGTAAAGGGTACTGAGGACTTTACAGAATGACTAATGTGTGTTCTACAATTATTTACATCCTATAATTTATTTATTTTAATTATTTGAAACTACAATATGTATAACAGAGAATTGTAAGAAACAACTCAGATTTCCATACAAACTCGTCGACGTTAAACGAGAATGCTTATGTAAATCTTTGTACAACTCACATTAGCTTATGATTTGGTGCCAATTATTTTAACGCTAACTAAATACGTTTGTCATCAAATGAGTTCAATGATTTATCACAGTGGAAATTGTTGAAAAGTATAGATTCCTATCTTACTCCGTATAAAATAAGGCGGCTAAGTGTTTTATTTCTGTTCATCCTCTTTCTTCACTGGCACTCCGTCTAAATCTACCTCTGTGCTTGGGATCAATGGTGGTTTAAACCCATATTCGATCCTCAGATTGCTTATTCTTGGTGTCCTATCAGTTCTTCTCAGTTTTAATTCGACGATATAATTATTGTTTTTCTCCCAGGATTGGTCATAATTCTTCATAGGCGGCGGCCCGTAATAATAATAAGGGTTGTTTGTGTTTGTAATATACGACAAGTAGTTCACTAAATTTGGTGTCTTTTTGAACTGTTGAATTTCAAAAGTGGGTGTACTGTTTATGTATTGGTAAGACGAAGCGTATTGGTTGCCCCATTTTGTGGTTTGAACTAATGCTTTGCGTTTATCGTCCAACATTTGTTGGTACGCCTGAATTTGTTGTTGCTTTTGTTGATCCTGAAATACTTGCTGCGTTTGCTTTGTATTTTGCATGTGTATCTGATTCGGCGATAGATTGCCTTGCTTTTGTTGTTCAGGTCCAGTCTGCATGTACTTTATGTATTGAGGTATGTTTTGTGATTGTTGTGTGTGTTGAAAATTGTTAATGTGATAGTGATTTCCATAGACTTTATCGGGGACATTTGTATTATGGTGTTGCATTTGTAACGGTATAGGCATAGGCTTTTCGACAAATCTCTCAACCGGATATGGCACCCTCACTTCTATAGGTACTTGAACGGGATAAGGCACTTTCTTCTCCACAACTTTTTCAACCGGGTACGGTACTCTTTTTTCAACCGGGTAAGGTTTGTCAATATATTTTGTTACAACAACCGGTTTTTCTACAATTTTCTCTACGACTTTTTCGACGGGATATGGAACTTTAATAGGCACTTTTTTCTCCACTATCCTATCAACTGGTACAGGATATGGAACTTTCTTCTCTACTATTCTATCTACCGGATAAGGTTGGGGCACTCGAACTTCAACCGGCACAGGGTGATGAACCGGTACTTGTACATGAATTGGTTTTTCAACAACTTTAGTAACCATCACCGGTTTTTCAACTATCTTCTCTACTGTCACTGGGACCCTTTTTTCTACCGGATATGGAACAGGGACTTTAGTTTCAACCGGAACTGGGTAGGGTACTTGTCTCTCAACTGGATAAGGTACAGGAACTTCTTTGTGCACTATTTTCTCAACAGGAACTGGTTTTTCTACTTCAACCGGGTAGGGCACACGGGTTTCTATCGGAACTGGATATAAGACCTTTTGTTCAACCGGAACTTGTACTTCGTATGGTATACCGACCGGTGTTGGAACTGGTATTTGGTGAACAATTTGTTTTTCTACAAGCTTTTCTACAGGGAATGGTATATGAACTGGACGATCGATGAAGACTTTTTGTTCAACCGGATACGGTACTTCTACTGGAATTGGGTAAGGTTGAAGAACTCCAACCGGGTATGGTTTATCGACATATCTAGTTACTTCCACCGGCTTTTCTACTACTTTTTCAATAGGTATGGGAACAGCAACTGGTCTATCTACTTCAATTTGTTTCACCACTTCAACAGGTTCAGGATATGGCACTTGCTTTTCAATAAATCTATCAACATATTTGGTTATCGGTACTTCTTTTTCTATTATTATAGGTTGAATAATTTTTTGTCCATATTCATTAAAATAGTTTATATACTCACTTCTCTCATTGTTATCGTCATTAGCCTTAATTTCAACTTCTGATCTAGTATTACTGCTTGTTTCTAATTTTTCTTTTGAATCATTCTCATTTTCATATTCTTGGTTTTCATTATTGTCATTATTTTTTGCCATACCATATTTGTATAGTATATTATTCATATTGTTTTGTATTTTTTTAGAAGATTCGAGAGCTTGGACGTATTTATTGTACAATTTCTTTGCGATATCCAAAGTGTCTTTGTCATTACTTCTACCTTCTTCTAAATATTCATGCACTTCAACATCATTTATATGAGTAATGGATACAGGAATTGATTCTTGGACCTCAACGATCGTTTTTTCTTTCTTAGGATTTTGAATGACATCTGATATTAACTCACTATCTGCTGTCTCATGATCTTCAACTGAGTTATAATTTTCTGATTCGTTAGCATTTAATAGCCTCAAAGCGACTGTTATTGGTGCCAAATATTTTTGTCCGATCGGTCTTGGGGTTACATCAACTGTATCTCCATTAGACCTATAATCTTCATTTGTCTGACTATTAGAATTTTCTTCGTATTTCTTCTGGTTTTCCATATTATTTCTAATATTTACAATTTGATAACCATCTTGTAAATAAGGTACCATTGTTGAAACTAAATTATTTAAAGCTTGCTCCTTATAACTGTCATATGAAGATTCCGGTACGATTATAGGTGAAGCGAATTTATATTCATTGGAACTAGTCTGTAAAATCTGCTCCTTCGACTCATCCTTTCCTAGGTGTTCAATTTCGCTATTAAGAATATTTTCTATTTTAGCTTTCACTGTGACTTTATTTCTAAATGGGCTCCTATTATCATAACCTTGATATCTGCTCTGTTCTCTGAAACTAGACCGTGGTTTGATAATATCATCATTCTGTGCATTAATATGTTTTTCTGCTGCATGGTTTATTCTCAATAAATCCTCATTTGAAATAAGGTCTTGTGTCGAAGCGACTAATTTCGTTATACCATCATTTTTTTCAGCTTGAATTGAATCTTCTGCTACGGTGGGAGGTGAAACTGTTGAATAGTAATAGTATCTTTCACTTCTAGCATTCTCTCTCGGTGATTCTACCCTAAAGTGTACAGCACCTCTGTAAGTCAAAGGCCTTTCGGTTCCATCATTGGCCCCAACGTTAGTGTTAATATTATGAACTTCATATTTTGGAACATCGGCATATAACTTATTTGCTGATTGTGTTTCGCTAACGCCTTTTGATTCTATAACACTATCCTCATTCGTACAGTTATGGTCTTTAAACACTTGTACTACAGAAGATGAATAAGCTTCATAAGACTCAGTGGTTTCTTCTTTGTGAAGAGATATTGAATTTTCAGTTTTTGGTGCAGGATGTTGAGTTTGAATATTATACAGTGGGGTAGTTAAAACATTTTGATAGTAGTAGCTAGGACTGCTGTATTGGATTTGATTGGGTTCAGCAGTCGGGAAGATCTGAACAACATGATTCTGTGGTTCGGGTGGTGATGTTGAGAATTGTTGCTGTAGTAGATATATTTCCACTGGTTGGCCTGCGCTTTGGGAGTACGATTGTTGGGTGGTGCTGACGTTCTCGTATATCGTGGGGGTCTGAAATTAATAAATATAATGTCAAACTTCCAAGTAATTGAAAGGAAATAGGTAATTATAATATGAACACATTAATACTGGCACATGAAGGAAGTAATGTTTTAACAACTCGATGATTCCAAATAATAAGATTAGGTAAAGGATGAAAAGCTAATAGGCAATTCTTGTGTTTATATTACGCGTTATATTGGCTAAATCTGAACCAATTTCAATAATTGCTTCTGCAATTAATAGAGTTTATTTATATATTGTTTATTGAACAATACAATTTGTACGAATGGAGGACTTAATGCCGCATGGCATTTTCTACCAGTTAAGCATTAGTTTACTATTTTTAGAGGCGAGCGAAATTCGAACTTGCACATTCTACGTCATGTCGGGGCTAATACTTTTACCAGTGAAGCTACCACTTTTATATAAAAAAAAAAGTTGAGTTAGATTTTTCTTCATACTCTTGATTATCGTCGTCTTTATGGGGATTTTTAAAAATACATCAATGGAATTAATTTGAAGTATCCTAAACCCCATAAGTAAACTATAAACCGAATCTTAGATCAATATCAACAGCATTATATTGTTGTTCATAATTAATAAAGATACCTCTTGCGTGTTGAGCTCTATGGCCTTGTCTCCCAAAGCGATGTTGGTGATGTGGGTATGGTGACCGTCGCTGGTGTTGACCGCGACTGCTCCGTGGTAGCCGCTGTCGTCTGCCGAGTACCGCACATGCTGCTCCGCCTGTATTTTACACATAATAATTGTTATTTTTTTTTAATATTATGTAGATTATAATAATACAGTAGCTTCAGTGAGTTAATGACTTAAACTAAATCTGAGAGGTCCTAAATAAAAATGTTAATTCTCTTGTAGGTAATAATAGTCAATAATTTGAAAATACTTATCGAAAGAAAAAAATAAAAAAAAAACGTTTATTGTTGGCAACAATAAAAATATTTGTACTTATTAAAAATAGATAAAAAAAAAACTATTTGCTAAACAAGTTATTTAATGGGTTATTGATATAACACCACACCATATCAGCAATTAATTGTCCACTGTTGAACATAGGCCTCCCCCATAGAAGAGGGGGAGGGGGGGTGGGTTGCTAGTAGTATCCACGTTTTGTGTTTTAAGTGCCATATATAGTAAGTTGTCCACGGCTAAACATAGACCTCCTCCATAAGGAGGGTTTTACCAGAAGTTGCCACGCTTGGCAGGCGGGTTGGCAACCGCAGCTACGCCTTGGAGATGTTTTAAGAGAGACGATGCTGCCCATTCCTCGACTTCAAAGTTCCATTAATCAACTCTTACGACACCCACGAGACAGAAAAGCGTGGCCCATTCTATGCCGGGACCACAGTACGATGTTAATATTGATATACAATAATACATAAAAGTATTTTAACCCAATATTCCAAGCGTTTCAAAGTCAATTGATCTGTATAGATTACCTGAGGTAGCTTCACATAATAATGTCCCACGGTAGTCCCCTCTTTGGGCGTGAGACGCCAGCCCCACTCGAAACTAGTGCCGCCCTGTTGCACCCTCTGTAACAAAAACAGATTTTTACTAACGACCAGTTTCAATCCAACGTAAGTAGGCCAAAACTATTCAATTAAACCGCACATCGTAATAAAATCTTTACAAGCGACTAATTAAAACAAAGTCATCCGTATTAATGATTTATACAAAAACGTGGAATATATTGTGGATATGTATTACATAAATATTACCTATGCAACGAAGTGAGAGTTAATTACAATAATTATTAAGAACATGGAAGCGATCAATTTATATTAATTACCATGTTTGTAAAAAACTCACAAGCGGACACGTGCCAAATGCCAGAAGCGCACATTATCCCGGTTATTTCGTTTATAATAAATTATTATTTATATCGATGATTTCATATTCGATTATAAATCACAAATGTTAAATAGCCCTATTTGGTATATAAATCTATTGCTTGTAACAAAATAAATAGATAGATAGATACCCTTTATTGTTTCTTCCAAAAGTTTACAATAGTAAACTTATTATATTTTTTTTTTTTACATTCGACTTAGAATGGCAAACAAGCTGATGCCCACCTGATGGAAAGTGGTAACCGTCGCCTATAGACAATATAAACGATTACAAGAAATAATCACAATGAAAAAACAATGAGCGACCTTATCGCTAAAAGCGATCTCTTCCAAGCAACCTTTGGGTGGAGAGGAGTAATTATCAACAATTTGAATAAACGCAAAAAGGAACGTAAAAAGCAAAATTTTATATTACTTTTTGCGTTATTAAATATTGCTTATCGAAATATAGCAATGTCGAAGTTATTTTTTAATGGCAACACCACAATTATCTGTCAATTTTTAAAAAGAATGAAGTTGAAGATTTCTCAATATTTTTGATTATTTAAAAACTGCACTGCTAGCGAACAAAAACGTTAATCGTAGAATTGTATCGTATCAGCCTTTAACTGTCCACTGTTAAACATAGGTTTCCCCCATAAGCGGGGTTTTGCCAGTAGCCACCACGCTTGGCAGTTTTTTTTTTATACAACTTAGAATGGCAAACAAGTTGACGGCCCACCTGATGGAAAGTGGTAACCGTCGCCTATAGACATGAGCAATACCATGGACATAATAGAGTATATTGTTTCGCCCATGCGTTGCCATTCCTGAGGTCTCAGGTGTTATTCCTCTGTACCATGATGGTTTGGCAACAGCAGTTATGGGTTTAACTGCAGTTACGCTTTGGTGATGTTTCAAAAGGAACGCTGCTCCCCATCCCTAGGTTATTAAGTTCCCTTAGTCGCCTCTTACGACACCCACGGAAAAGAAAGGAGTGGCCCTAAGCCGGAACAACCTACCTAATACCTACCGCTAGAGGGGGGGGGGGATGGGATTGTTAATAATGCAAACTATCAGTCCTATTGCTGGCAATATGCCCTATAAGTTCGACCTCCTCATGGTCTCCCCTGGAAACCATCGTGCTGAATTCCTGGTGTATTCATTACGATGGGCTAACTGACCTGCCTTTTCATTTTCACCTATCACACCTCACTGGTGCCCCGCCAGTATATGTCGTTAGCGCAGGTGGGGTTACCATACCATGAAACTGCTTTAAAATTATTTTGTTTAATTTAGCTACCATTATTATGCTCATGACTGCCAACATTTAAGAAGTGACTGCTATAACTATTAACAGACGTTCTACGACATTCTATATTAGTCATCAATCTCCGACCGTTATTCAGTCCACGCACATGTTGCACACGCATACTAATGATAGCGGAATTTAACAAAATTCTATTGGACTAACTAGTAATATGGACTTTCGCAAAATAAGACCTAGTTCAGTAAAAGGTTTGTACGTATAATTGGATTTTTGTATAAGTTAACGGTATCCACGCAAAGGCAGGGTGTAGCGCTAGTCTATAATATAAATTGAAACTGAAAGTTCCACGTCATGCTGCGATATATTAAAGCGAAGTACCGAGGAAGCCTAGGGCACGGCATCCAGTTTGCGGTATGTGTATCTGTCAGTCTATATATGCGAGTAAAACTTCGGAACTAGACGGGTAAAAGTGGTGCGCGCAGAAAAAAGGCAGCGAACGAAAGTGGCCGGGCTAGGTGCACGGGATCTTGTTAACAAAGTCATCTATACTTTCCAATTATGATAAGCTCTTAACTTTTATTGATTAACCCATTGTTATTCTATCTATCCTATTTAAGGGCTGCGCTCTTGTCGGTGGAGCTCTTGCCACTCACTACGATTTTCAGCTAGTCTCTTCACCTCTTGATACTACACGATACCAACTCCTTCCTTGATCTGCCCGATGTAACTATGTCTCGGTCTCCCTCTTCCCCTCCTTCCTTCTATCGTACCTTCTATTATAATGTTCATAAGTTCGTCGTGTCGTATCAAGTGTCCCAACATTTTTCCTCTTCTGTCCCCAAATAGTTCTAATAATTTGTCTTTTTTCCTTAACCCTAAGTAGGACCTCTTCATTGCTAATTCGATTCCTCCAGCTAATTTTCTCCATCCTTCTCCAGCACCACATTTTAAAAGGCTTTAAGTTTATCCATTTCCTTCCGAGTTAATGTCCACGTCTCGCATCCATACAAAACTACACTCCAGATATAGGTTTTGATAAGCCGCTTTCTAATATCTTTCACATTTCATTTATATATAAATTGTACACACTAATCTGTTTCTTTCTACCCGTATCCCAATTATTATTTGTGGTCGCCGTAATATGTTTTTATCCAAAAAGATTTGGCTTATAGTTTTACGACCGGCCGCCTGCTTGACGTCAACCCTCTTTGGGAAAGTATTTGTTGGTGGTTTCCGCCACCAACGGTATGGAGGAAAGAATTGAGGAAAAAAGGAAGGGAATGTTGGAAATGTGTAAAGAAAATTGGTAAATAAGAGAAATAAGGAGCTTATATGGGAAAAGAAAGGGGGTATACAGTAATATTACATAAAAATATGACAGAGGTAAGCAAATGTACAAAGGCGAGCTTAACTCTGTTAGAGTTCTCTTCCAGCAACACCCAAAGTGGAAAGGAGCATTAATATCAGCGGGTAGAGCGGTGTACAATATTGTGACAATTTTGAAGCAAAAGAACTATACAAACTTAAGTTGGTACATAATTTATTATATCGTATTCAATCGTATATATACCCACGTACATATATACAAATACATAAATATTTACACATACATTTTTAAGACCCCTATTAATATTTTTTTTTATTATTATATTAACGACTGATATACTGATAGATTGTCCATTGTTGAACATAGGCCTTACACTATAGGGGGGGGGGGGGGGGGTTGCCGGTAGTAACCACGCTTGGCAGCAGGGTTGGCAACCGCAGTTAGGCTTTTAGAGATGTTAGACGCTGCTGCCCATCCCGCGCCCTCCCTTAGTCGCTTCTTACGACACCCACGGGAAAGAAAGAGGTGGCCTTTTCAATGCCGGGTCCATACGGCTAATACATTAAGGAGGGTTGCTAGCAATATACTCCCTCGTCGTACGTCGTCGCCCACCCACGTCGCCCTCCCACGTCGCCCTCTCTGAAAATCATCGTGCTGAATTCTAAGCGTATTCATCACGATGGGCTAACTGATATCTCTTTTCATCCTCACTTATCATCTTTCACTGGTGCCCCGACGGTGTATACCGTTAGCACGGGCGGGAACTACCATTTCATTGTCATCCATTAAAAAAAAATACATCGAAACGGATATACGGATAATATCGACATAATACGCGTAAATCACAAAGATTTTAATATATTCATAGACGAGTGAGATTCAAAGGCGCAGATAAAGGCCGGAAGAACAAAATGAACGTAGGAAGTGCTGCCAATACGCAAATCAGATGCCAACAATACAGTGGGTAATATACAATGTTGCATTAAACGAGCGAAAGTCGGTAAGGGATATCTTGCTATAGTTTATTGTCGGAACTGTAAATACATTCTCTCAGTGAAACTAGAGGAACAACAACACTAAACAAATTGTTTATATTTATTTATTTATTTAATAAGGTTCACATACAACTTTTACATTTTACATGCAACTTAATAACACAAAAAATAATTTTGCCTAATGTAAAAATCTTTTATACGCGAACACCACATGCACTATTATAATATTTAATAAATCATTAACAATAACAGTAAGATTATCTGAATAATAAGTAGATTAAGAACTTATGTCTAAGATTTTCCGCAATAAGCTATATCTGCTGTTGGTGGGTCCAAAATTGATGTCAATTTGATCGCTGTGAGCATTCAGAATCCTACATAATCTGGGTACAGGCGAATTGGCTCCTAACACTGTTCTTCTTAACGGAGGACATTAAGGTATTATCTGTTTCCGAGGTATTCTAGAGGGAACACGAAAGTTAAACAATTGAAGCATTTGTGGACAATCTATTATATGCGTCAGTATTTTAAAACCAAAAGAAATGTCAATAAAATCTCTGCGTTTTTCTAAAGAGATGATATGAAAATGCTTCAGCTTGTCAATGTTTGTAATAAATTGTTATATCGTTGTTTACATTTGTAAACTCTGAATAACTTGAATTACATTTTTTAATTAATTGATATTAGTACACAATATTGGGGCACTAGTGAAGGATGGAATGATGAGGCTGAAGTTAGATCAGTTGGCCCATCGTGCTGAATTCAATAGTAATTATCCACGAATGTTCCAGAGAGGACCTCGGGGAGGTCGACATGACGGGGAGTATATGCTAGCGATGGGGACTCCTCAATCAATCCTCAAACAATCCTCCTTCTTTCTCCCATTAAATTATGTTAGAAAAACAGAGAGTAAGAGAAGTTAAAAGTAGGGGCCGGCAAAACTAAAGAAAAATCGACCTAACTTTGTCTTTATGAAAGATTTAGAGAAAAAATATAAAAAATTGGGTAATAATAAAAAATGATATCTGGCAACCCCGTCTCGTCTTTAATTGGTACGTTTACGATTTATGGCCATTTTTTTACAGATTAATTCTTGTCCTTTTAGAGTTGCAAGGTTTGCAAATTTGCCCGACGATATAAGAGTGAATGTTTATATGTTTGTATATGTATATATAATTATCCTAAGTATAATATAATAACCTATACGTGTAATAAATTTCACTCAAATCCGTACAGCAGTTTTTGCGTGACAGAGTAACCAAACAAATCGTCCTTACAAACTATCGCATTTATAATATTATTAATTAACAGTATTATGATTGGCAGTGGTCACCTACTTTCATCCACGCGTACGAAGTCGCGGGCAAAAGCCAGTGTACAACAAAACATTTACATAATGTTAACTTTAAGTCTTAGTTGAATGTTCAATAAGTTGCAGCAAGTGCCCTTATGTTACGCAACAAGCTCGTGAAGCTCTCAGAACTAGTTTGCGTTCACAGTGAAAGTGTTCCTATTATGTTTAAAAATATAATGTTATACAAAATTAATTATCCGTCTGTAACTCCATTGTTGGTGTCCATATTATTATAGTAGTTTTTAGCCGCGACCTCGTCCGCATCATTGGATAAGTAGACAGAGGGAAAATTATAAAAAATACCTATTGTTTTAGCTTCGATTTTTTTTATGCGACTTAGAATGGCAAACAAGCTGACGGCCCACCTGATGGAAAATGATAACCGTCGCCTATAGACATGAGCAGTACCATGTACATAACAGAGTATACTGTTTCGCTCATGATACCCCCCCCCCCCATGCGTTGCCATTCTTGAGGACTCAGGTGTTATTCCTCTGTACTCAGTAAATTCACGTCATATCCCACCCTTCAAACCGAAACATAGCCATGCACACACACTCTGTTATGTTCATGGTACTGCTCATATGGTCTATAGGCGATGGTACCACTTTTGATGGAAACTGAAACGGCTCACCTCATCAGGTGGGCCGTCAGCTTGTTTGCCATTCTAAGTTGTACAAAAACAAAAAAGGTTTTTGTCAGTAGTTGCTACGCTTGACAGGCAAGTTGGACGTAGATTAAAAAAAAAAGTTGGCATCCACAGTTAGGATTTAGTGATGTTTTAAGAGGGACGTTGCTGCCCATTTCTGGACCATTAAGTTCCTTTAGTCACCTCTTAAGATACTAACAGGAAAGGAGGGGATGACCCATTTCATGCCGTGACGACACGACATAATTATTTGACTAAACTTAATTATAAATATTTTAAATAGTATCTTATTATAATTGTTTTCTTTACGGCCCAATCCGGAATGCAATTCCAACTGATAAGAAATAAGGCAAGAAATTTAAAACAAACAATTTTAGATTTTTATAATTTGAAAGCATTTCATTGCATTAATAAATTACTTATAAAGACTTTGTAATCAATCATAGTACTCCTGAACAGACCAGCCTCTTTAAGCAGCATCCGTTCACGAGTATGATGTATGATCCAGACATTGTTGTGTTCATAGGTAGTCCAATGATCAGGTTCACCACGCTGCCACGGTTATGGACTTTTTGAGCGACTTAGAAGAGAAAATAAGCTTACAGCCCACCTAAAGGAAAGTGGTAACCGTCGCCTATCCCTTTCAGACCCAAGTTTTTTTTACCTTTTAGATTAAATATATTTTCGTGTTTTGGAGCCAAGCCATCTTGCCGGCACGCTAGAATCTCACTATCATGTTATTTCAGCTTCGTGCGTAAAAATGAATTGCGCGCGGTTTTAGAGTTTTTTAAAGTTACAACTCACGCCCGTATCGTTCAGGTCTGAAAGGGCTATAGTCTCAATAGTACCATTGACATCATAGTATATACTGTGATGTCCCTCTACTTACCTACGACTATTCGAAATCTGTCCGTTGAGTAACAGCTATAAGGAACAGATGTTGAGGAACTAATAACCTAATGCACTTTACTTGCTCAATACTGCAATATGCAATTTGATAGTGCATAAACGTGTATTCTCTTGAGTAACTATTCGAATGTAAGTGTGATGGAACAGAATATAATATGGAAATGATAAAGATATTTATAGATTCATACTTCTTGTACAAAAATTGATTGCTTGGGTACCTCTGTCCCATTCGTGTTTCAACCGTGAAGCAGTTGTGCATGGCTGTGTTTCGGTTTGAAGGATGGGATATGGCGTGAATTTACAGGGTACAGAGGAATAACACCTGAGTCCTCAGGAATGGCAACGCATGAGGGGTATCATGGGCGAAACAGTATACTCTGTTATGTCCATGGTACTGCTCATGTCTATAGACGACGGTTACAACTTTCCATCAGGTGGGCCGTCAACTTGTTTGCCATTCTAAGTTGCATAAAAAAACAACACAATATAGTGAAAAACAATACAACTATCTGATTGGGTACAATTTTTAAAAATTGTACCAATTTGGAGAAAAATATTTGACATTTGGGTAAAAATAAAAATTCGCAATCTGGCAACCCTGGACATTTTTATCCCGGTCATTCAATGTGTTCCGGTCACGAAGTCATAATTAAAGACTAGGAGTACATACTATAATAATATACGGGCACAGTAACTATAAAAGGTTAATTATTATAAATTCTAAACTCAATTCTCTTATAAAACAAAAAACAACAATCGAGTTACTTGGTTGTTTTTCTTAGCTATAATTCCATTTCGAACTGGGCGATAGATTCGTATAAAATTAATTAGCTGACTCAGCAAACGTTGTTTTACCATATACGTTATTTCGAGAATTATACTTGAAAATTTATCCTACTACAATTTATATATTCGATTGCCATCTTGCAAGCCTTGATTGCGAGCGATTGAAAAACAGGGGTTGAACGAAAAACCGTGAAAATTTTAATTTGTATGTATTTTTCAATGCCAAATCAAAATAAGATAAAAATAAAAAAAAATAGACAAAAAAATAAAAAAAAATGGGGGTGGGTCACCCTTATCATTGAAGGGTATGAAAAATAGATGTTGGCCGATTCTCTGTCCTACCCAAAATGTACACAAAATTTCATGAAAATCGGTTAAGTTTCGGAATAGTTTGGTAACAAACACCGCGACACGAGAATTTTATATATTAGATATTTAACAAGTAAGTTTTGATAAAATTTCTATGGAATCATTCAGTTTAATATAAAAATAAGATTAATTTTGTTTTTAAACTTAATAATATATACTTATAATTATTGTCCTTGATGTTTTAGGTTGGTATTCCAAACTTGCTTAATTACACAATATTATCATGCCTACTTGTACAACAATTAGTTCATTACCTTAAGGTTATCTTAAAAAGATTGCTTTCAGCAATAAGACCGCCTTACTGTACTTATATAACTGTATCATTATTGCTTATTTCCTATATTGTATAATTCAAATAAAGTATATTCATTTATTCAAAAAAGTGACTGAGTTTTAAGATTCTGAGCTTAGTTTATACAGATAGTGTTACCATACAAATGCTTCGATTAAGGCGAGTTAATTTTTTTTATACAATTTTGCGTGATAAATAATTATGTTTATTTTACAACTTGTAAATTTATTTTGTATATTTTAATGTCTAAAAACTCATTTTATTTATTAAATTATTAAATATAGATACCTTAAGATACATTATGTGCGTAAGTATATAGAACACTGATAAAAAAACAAGCACCAAATTTGACAAATAGCTGAAAAAGTTGACCCGTTTTTGAAAGTCCATGCTCTATGCTATAGATTCTGAGTTTTCAGGTTCTGAATTTTAAGGAAATAAGTATAAAAAAATATACAATCAAATTGAGAGTCTCCTCGTTTTTTAACGTCGATGAAAAATGCTTATAATGAAGTTATACTCAAATAAAAAATATTTTTATTAATTATGGACTGGACTTACGGCGCTTGTTTGCTGTGTCCACGCGTGGGCAGACAGACTGAATGCCACCAACAATCGCACCCACTGGAAATAAAAAAAAAAATATAGCTACAAGCAATAATGTAGAGACCAGAGGGAGACTTTGTACAAAAGTCGATTGCTTGGGTACCTCTGTCCCATTCGTGTTTCTACCGTGAAGCAGTTGTGTTTGCATGACTGTGTTTCGGATTGAAGGGTGGGATATGGCGTAAATTTACAGGGTACAGAGGAATAACACCTGAGTCCTCAGGAATGGCAACGCATGGGTGGTATCATGGGCGAAACAGTATACTCTGTTATGTCCATGGTACTGCTCATGTCTATAGGTGACGGTTACCACTTTCCATCAGGTGGGCCGTCAGCTTGTTTGCTATTCTAAGTTGTATAAAAAAAAAAACTTTCACATTTATAATATTAGTAAGTATCTAGTATGTATATAATACATAATTATATTCAACTATATCTTAGTTAAATTTGCATATGCATTAAATTTATTTAAAAATTTGCATACTTGTTTTAGTAACCTATTTCGCTGCGTATCAATAGTGTCGGTTCGCAACATCGCATCGACTCAATTTCACAAACTTTCCCGTCTTTGCATTGAATAACTGAATATATAATATCCCGTTTCCTGTAAAATATACTGGACTTTTTTATGATACTTAAAACTGTAACTAACTAAACTAATTAATTTTCTATCTGATTAGAAGTGGTAATCGAAAAACATGAGGGAAGAAAGGTATTGTTAGTAATCAGGGCTAACATACCCATCTTTAGCAATACCCTATCAGGTCGACCTCACCGCGGTGTGCACTTGAATTTATCATTTTTAATTTCAGGTGAATTCATCATGATTATTTATTCGATTATCACTTAATAAAATAAATTATTGTAACACATGATCAATAATATGGAAATCACAGAGTATACTGTGACACCCATGACGAATAAAGGGTCATGCGATGCCGTTCCTGGCGACACCAGTTTGCGATTAACTTAGACCAAGCAACCCAAGGGTGTATTGTATTTTATTTATGCTAATCTTTCATTTAAACCATGTCTCATTTAGAAGTTTCACATTTGCAGAATTCAGCGGTGGGATCTTAGGCTATAAGGACATTAAAATAATCACCATGTTTCCACGCCACTGCAGTCACAGATATCCCCTTCCTTTTCTCTTTGAAGACAATAACTGTAACAAAAGAGGAATAATTGTAAAATTTGTGAAAATGTAATAAATTCATATACCTACATTATACATCAAGCCGTGTAGGTCCTCGACATAGAATAGGACAGCTCTTTCTTTCCCGTATGTATAGTTAGAGGCGACTAAGGGAGCTTATGGTGGAAGGATGGGCAGCAGCGGCCCAGCTTAAAACATCACTAAAAGCCACACTGCGGTTGCCAACTCGACTGCCAAACGTGACAACTACTTGTAAAACAGCCCTTCATCGTCATATCAGCCATATTGTCAAACGCAGTTAGGATGTTAGCGATGTTTTAAGTGGGACGCTGCTGTCCATCCTAGTTCTGTTATGCTTCCTCGCCTAAGTCGCGTCTTACGACACCCACTATTTACATTTTAATAGCATGAATATAAAATAAGTATGAAAATCTTAGATTATATAGATTATCTGATTATTTTAAATATATTTATTATAAAAATTTAACCTTACAGCGTACTTTCACCTTTATAATGAGTAATAAATATATATTATGGCAACATTATACACGCGGCATATAACTGTTGAGAAAATTTAATAATGATAAATTGATGACATGTGTACTAAAAGGTACTAATTGAAAGATTTCAGAACTTGTTCTTAGTACTAAACATGTTTTAATGGGTGATAATGGAATGGTAACCCCACCCGCGCTATCGGTATACACCGGCGGGGCACCAGTGAGGGATGATAGATGAGGATAAAGCAGATCAGTTAGCCCATCGTGACGAATTCAACAAGAATTGTGCACGATGGTTTCCAGGGGGAACCACGTGGAGGTCGACCTGATAGGGCATATTGCTAGCAATATCGAACTCCATTGCTAATAATCCCTTTCCCCCCATTAAACATGTTGCAAATGTCAATCTTCTGTCTGTCAATATAAGTGCCAAGACTGGGAGAAGGGATTGTTAGTAGTGGAGGTCTAATTTTCCCATTACTAGCAATACACCCTATCAGGTCGAACTCCACGCGGTTCCCCCTGGAAATCATCGTGGTTAATTCTAGTGAAATTCGTCACGACAGGCCAAATGACCTGCTTTCATCCTCACCTATCACCACTCACTGGTGCCCCATCGGTGTATACCGATAGTGCAGGCGGGATTACCATTTCATTATCACCTATTAAAGTGACAAGACTCGACATTTCGAACTTTAATGAAGAGGCTCAAAAGAACTTGTATCCAGAGCCGTGAAACATACATAAAAACATAGCATGGATATAAAACTTGTCTACCTTATAAAGAAACATTTGTATGAAGACACGCTATATACTCAAAGATAGACAAATACACTAGTAAAAGTTGCATAATTATGATAAGGCGGCATTATTGTTAAATGTATATTAAAAAGCTTAAAGATTTATGTCCTACATTCCTTGGTTACTACAATGAGTTATGGCGATAACAGACACTCACCGCATTCAAATTCAGAACACAAAAAAAGTAAATTTATCTAATTCGACACGTAACAAGTAGGTTTTAACTCGCTTGAAAAAAAAAAAGCAGTCTTCTATCACACGTACACCGAACATCTTGGTAGATAAACGAATTGTAAACTTAAATATCGTGGCTCAACAAAAAAAGCCGACTTACTTTAATTGTGACAAAACCTACTCAATCAAATATTACGTGCGAGCACGTCGACGGTACTTATTCGATGTTCCATTACGAAGAACAGAATTCGCTAAGCAGGCTCCCCTATCTCTTGCATTGAAACTACTCAATGATATTTTGAGCCAGTATCCGCAATTGGATGTATTTGCCTCCAACTTGCTGGAGTTTCGTCGGGTGACCACAGAGTATTTGTGTTCAGACGTTTTTGTTTAAGTCTTTTTATATTATTCTTGTTATATATGTGTAACATTCCTTTTTTTATATGTTGTTGTATTCATGCTTTCCTGGGTGGGCGTATTGGAAGATTGTAAGGCTCACCCAGTGGATGTAATAAATAAATAAATAAATTAATTAATTAATCTACTCAATCGATTTATCATAAAATTTTCTTTGGATAAAATCTATAAGTATATCCTTGAAGGTTTCAAATAAAAAAATATTTAAATTAAGAACGCAAAATCGTGTTCCAAATTCAATTGTTACAAACAAATTTGGCTTCGCAAGAAGTGTTTTTTTTTTATGCTACACTACAAAAAAAAAATTTGGCTCTCTTATAATCGTTTCAGTTTTTATAAAATTAATAGAGGACTACTAGATAATATAAAATAGTTTTTATCACACTTAGAATGATAATGTGATAGTCCATTTGATGGAAAGTGGTAAACCACGTCTATAGACATGAACAGTACCGTGAACATCACAAAATATAGTGTGATGCTGGATGATCTGGTATGGGTTTTTAATGGATGATAATGGAATGGTAACCCTGCACGCGCTAATGATGTACACTGACGGGGCACCAGTGAGGGATGATACACAAGAATGAAAAGGTAGGTCAGTTAGCCCATTCTGGTTTTTTTTACACTACAATTATACACTGGGAATTCAACATGAGTCGGAGGATCGACCTGACAGGGCATTTTGCTAGCAATGGGACTGGTAGTTCACGTTACTAATGCAATCCCTTCCCCTCAAGGTCTGTTATGGGTTACAACATAGTAGCAAATTAAAATATATGGATGGCATAATGGCATAACATAGCCATAAAAAAATATAAACGAACAAATAATTAATAATGGTGTTGATAAAAAAAAAAAAGAAATTAATCCAATTTCAACCGAATCGTGCCCGTTTAAACTTAACAACTTTAATACAGAACTCTTTAAATACTTAACTGCATAAGTGCTATAATAACTTAACTCGTTTTCCATTACGTAAATAGTGAGAGGTAATAAATAACGCCTATACATATTATTTATTCATTAAATACGGACATTGTAGATAAATCAAACGGAATCGGCCATATTGATATTACGTAAATGTTTGTATCAAAATAAAGTAAAATAATAAAAGAGGAAACTAAATTGGATTTCTAGCACGAATCTAATAGAAATATGTTGATATAAAGTAGATATAGTAGCTATAATATAGTCTTGCATGCATGCATGAACCGACTCCATTCGTGGCAAAATAAATTATTTGGATTTAAAAATTCCAGTTATTTTAAATTAAAAACCACACTACTGAAAACTAGGGGGGAAAGAGATTGGGCGACCTCCACGCGGTTCCCCCTGGAAACCATCTTGATTGTTTTTTCATAAATTCTTCACTATGGGCCAATTGACCTGCTTCATCATCACCTATACTACTACTATGTTACTATTCCATTATCATCCATTTAAAAAAAATACTGCAACTGAAATTGATAAAATTTCAACGGGATCAAACTGGAAGTATATACTTTCAGATAAAAAAATCCAGATCGATTTACAGAACTGCTAGAGTTATGAGGTCATAAAAGTAAAAAAAAAAAAACATAAAATTGAGAAATCATCTTTATGAAGTCGTTTGAAAAAGACATTTTTATTTGACATTCTTATCGTGACTTTTTTTTTTATAAATTAAAATAAACAATCAAAATCCAGATTTATTTACACTTTATGGTGCACCATTTTTAAAATAGTAAATACATTTAACTGTAATAAGAAATGATACAAAAGGCGGCCTTATTAAGCAATCTCTTCCACACAGCCTTTGGGTAGAGGAAAAGGTAGGTGGCGCACTATTATATATAAACAAATATATATGCATATATATATATATATATATATATATATATATATATATATATATATATATATATATAGAGATCCACCGACAAGAGCGCCAAGAGCTCAGTTCTTAAATGGATATATATATATATATATATATATATATATATATATATACACAAATAAATACATACATAAACATACAAAATCCAGATGTAACTGGTCAGGTATTTAGGTCAGGTGACTCAGGACCGTTCTTTATGGCAGTCTATGGGGTAGGCTTATGTCCAGCAGTGGACGGATAATGATGGTGATCATACTTTCTTGACTTAGAGCTTATTTATAGTTAGATATTTTTTATTTATTCACTTATTTTACACACAAAAAATTGACCTTTTCGTCATCTTTTAACAACCCATTAAATGTATAATAAATTAGCTAGAACCTAGACCGCAAATAAACGAAGGGAAATTGTGGTTTTTAGAAAGTGAGAAAATTAATGCAATTTCAACATCCATTTTTGGAATACTAGACGTATTTCATGGCTTCGTCCGCGTATATCAGTATGTAAAGTATTATATATTCTCGCTTAGTTAACCTATTCGGGCACCAAATTTCGTTCAAATCCATTTAATAGTTTTTGCTAGAAAGAGTAACAAATCCATCTTCAATTTTTTTTTTATTAATTTTTTAATTATTACTTAAACGGGTAATTCTAAAAATATAATCATTATCTTCCTACCCTTATTTATTTTATTTATTTATTTATTTAACTCTTTATTGCATAACATGATTTGTTAAAACAATTTTCAATACGTATAGTGTAGTACAAAAGGCGGTCTTATTGCTAAGCAATCTCTTCCAGACAACCTTTGGGTAGAAAGAATTAAAGCATAAATAGGTAGGTGGCGCGTTAAAAAAGATAGATTTGTAAAAAATAATATCTGTGACAGCATAGTCATATACATATACATACATAAATAAACACATACAACCAAACATATACATATATATACATACACATTATTATTATTCCTTATCCCAATCATTTAGTGTCGGCGTAATATGATTTTATCCATATTACAAAAAGATTTGGTTTTTAGTTTTACGACCGGCCGCCTGCCTGACGTCAACCCTCTTTGGTAACGGGAAAGGGATTGTTAGCAATGGAGTTTGACAGCCCCACTGCTAGCAATATGCCCTATTAGGTCGACCTCCACGTGGTTCCCCCTAGAAACCATCGTAAACAATTCATGTTGAATTCGTCACGATGGGCCAACTGACCTGCTTCATCCTCACCTA